AGCGATGCACCGGTGTTCGAATCCCGCAGGCGGGTACCAATTTTACTAATGAAATACGTACTTAACAAATGTTTACGATTGACTTCCACGGTGAAGGAATAACATCGTGCAATCAAAGTCAAACCCGCAAAATTATAATTTGCGTAATTACTGGTGGTAGGACCTCTTGTGAGTCCGCACGGGTAGGTACCACCGCCCCGCCTATTTCTGCCGTGAAGCAGTAATGCGTTTCGGTTTGAAGGGTGGGACAGCCGTTGTGACTATACTGAGACCTTAGAACTATATCTCAAGGTGTGTGGCGCATTTACGTTGTAGATGTCTATGGGCTCCAGTAACCACTTAACACCAGGTGGGCTGTGAGCTCGTCCACACATCTATGCAATAAAAAAAAATAAAAAAAAAACCGAAACGCGGGCTCAGAGCGCCATTATCATACTGCTCACACATAATATACTATTATCATTAATGGGATTGTTACGCGCTGTTCAGGATAAATAAAATTTCACCAAAGTACAACTTAAACACTGTATTCAACACTTAAAACACTTAAACACTTCACAAAAACTTTAAAACACTCAATTCGCTTGTTCCGCTTCGCTTCAGGTGATCCGTTCACTGTTTCGCTTCGAGTAGTTCCGATTACTGACTGACTGCGTGCCATCTCTACAACGCTTTTATAGCCGATACCTCTTCCCTAGAATTATAGAGAATATTCCACACCTCTCTAGTAGTTGTTTCCGCTATCTGACAATAGATGGCGTTGTACTTCTCGAGCGTCCTGGGCGCTACTAGATCCTTCGATATTCGTTCGACTATTCGGCGATAGATGGCGTTACTCTTGCCGGCGTAACAGTATTTTAGAAATATATTTTTTTATTTTCTTTATCGCGAAATTGGATGAGCTACTAAAGTGTACAGGGTGTATGCCAGCTATCGGTCCCGCTGCTTCTGCCGCGGGGACCACTGCTAATGGGTTCGTGTGGGTAGCGGGGGGGTTGGGAGGGGGGTTCTCTGTGATAGACACGCACTATATTTAAAAATTCAAATTTCTTTAATAAAATACTTCATCAAAATTGATGGGCCCGACAGAAGTGACAATGAGACTGTTACTTTATAGCCGACTTAAAAAAAGGCGGAGATTCTAAATTCGACTATACCTCTGAAACGTTTTCTACATGCAGATTATTTTTATTTTATTTGTTAGCTGATGCTTGTCGTGTCTGTTTCTCTGTTGTTAAAAACAATGGTATTACGTTTGTTGTATATTATTATATATGTCGGAGAAGGCACAATTGTTAACACCATCGTCAGACATCATAGGGGCGAATAGGGTGATCGAGCCAAGAGAAATATTGAGTACACCAATCACATTTGTTGTCTTAGAATCAATTTAGAAATCTTCTCTTGACGTTAGCAAACGAATGACAGTTGTTAGGAGGAGTTAGGTATCGCTCTTCAAGAATGCCGGTCGGTAAGTGTGACGGCGTCTACGCGCCTCCATCGGCTCGGCTCTGTCGCAGCACGAAGTTAGCCGAGCTCCGACGTGCCGCGATCGTGCTGCCATCTCTCGGGAATCGTGCTTCGTTGCGTTTAGCTACCAAACTAATGACCGTATATATATATATATTATTAATACTTTATTTCGGTTTTTTTTTTTAAACCATAACATTTTGTTAGTAGTAATTACTTATAATCTATGTTAGTAACTTAAAAAATCTAACACATAAGTATCATTATATATATTTTATACCATTACATTATTTATTTATTTTTTTCTCCTTCCAAGTGCCTACCGCAAAGGCTATTGATCAGCAGTCCGTTATTACATATGTTGAAACACCGGTCCGTCGGTCCACAGGTACCTGGAGGCGCACCTCCGGCTGAAGGCGGCGCAGGTGTCCCGGCAGCACGGCGACAGCGTGCCCGACCCGCCACCCTACAAGGTTAGTGGACGTCGTCTCGCCAAGCTCACAGGCGCCCATGGACATATCTGTGGTTTCACGGGCTCCTACTGAGCCTCCTAGATGAGCCTTTGCTCGCCCACCTGTCCTGGTGAAACTGGAAAGGTCTCCGGCCCACCAGTAATCTTTCAATCATAAAAAAAGAAACTTCTGTATATGCAAGCCTATCTTGAAAATGCCGTAATATATATATATATATATATATATTTTTTTTTTTTTTAAGGGATGTTATGACCTGCTAACTAAGACCTTTAAATCATGTCTAATTTTAATTTATATTCATATTTTTATTAAAAATGATATTATGGATTGAAATGAAATGAAGATGATTAATTTGAGACATTAATCAACTGGGATGAAATTAAATGAAATGAAATGAGATGATATGGGATGAAATATAATCTCAGTAAAATGGTGGTCATTTACTAAGATTTTTTCAGTGGACTTTTTGGAGGATCCCGAGAAGTTACGTCCAGTGGCTTTGTTTCATTTTCCCACATTTATACACTTTCACAGATATTAAACAGTTAATAAACCACCATTATGACACATTTAAACCCGAAGAAATACTAAATAGACAAAATAAAACAAATCACACAACTTCATTCCTCGCGTTCCCGCCAAAAAGTCCCGTGATATATATCTCGTGTTCTATAATAACTACCCGCTACAGCAGAAAGATCTGTCTACCCTCTTTAAATAATAGAGTGTACAATCTTATTCGATCGATAAGTGGTCGTTGATGAGACCTGCGTCGTGCATATTACGTGCACATGCGACTTAGCAATGCCAGGGGCAGAGCCAAGCCGCTGCCTACCGCAAATCGCCCTCCTTCGCTTGCAGGCCTCCAAGTCCTCGCCCGAGGAGATCCAGGAGCAGATCGAGCTGCTGCAGAGCGTGTCGTGGTCCCGCTGGGCGCCCGTGGACGAGCTGCTGGACCTGGGGGGCGTGTCGCTGCTGCTCAAGGTGGTCGGCTACGCCTACGAGTGGAACTTCAACGGCAGGTCGTGTTGGAATTATATGTATGGTATTGCTTAGATGGGTGGACGAGATCACAGCCCACCTGGTGTTAAGTGGTTACTGGAGCCCATAGACATCTACAACGTAAATGCGTCACTCACCTCGAGATATGTATAAGTTCTAAGGTCTCAAGTATAGTTACAACGGCTACCCCACCCTTCGAACCGAAACACATTACTGCTTCACGGCAGAAATAGGCGGGGTGGTGGTGGAAGTTAAAATGAATCGGTGATAAATAGATCTGAGACGGTCCGGTCGGCGCTGGACGTGGTGTCGGTGTGCTGCGTGGCCCCGCGCGTGCAGCTGCTCCTCACGGAGAAGGTGGACATGAGGGACGAGGATCTGACCACGGGCGTTAATATCGTTTTGAGTGAGTATCTTGTTATTAAACGCCGCTGTGATTCGAAACTCGATGAAACGAGAAAACGACACTAAAGCGAGACGAACATACAATTAACAGACCTTAGTCTGCGAGAGTAAAAGAGACAGACCGCTTCTGTACATTTCACTTCGGCTGTGAACTGCACGAAAATACCTATTTGAAATTTATTCCATCAACATTGAACATCGCGTTCTCGAAGTTTCCAGAAAAAGCTGTCGATAGTGGACGTCATCGAGTTCCACTCGTAACTCCCCAAAAGGAGACTGAAACGATTACATACATTTTTGGGCCCGAATGTAACGTGATGAAACTAATATGAATTAATAGATTCAGATTTATTAGTACCTTGCTGAAAATTATAAAAGTTTTCTCAATCTGAGAGCCGAGTTAATAAAGACTTAGTAAAAGTTAGGTTACGTTACAATCTCTTTAAAAGAGCTGAATAATAACTTATTTAAGCATAAGTAAATGTTTATTATACCCATTGGATAATCTTTTAAATGTCATATTATGAATGAATATCAATGATATCAATGATATCAGGTATGGAATATGGAATTTCTATCCCACAATTCACACAGCGATCCATAATTTCAACAGTATCCAATGCAACAATTTCAAGTCAAACGTGTGAGCGATCTTCGGTGTCCAGTGTAGAAGCAATTGTCGTACAAGGCTGACAGAGTTGGAATCCGTAATAATAAAGCAGTGATCGTTGAAAATATAAAAACAGCCCGATAGATACACACTCAACATGCGTCGAAGATACAAAACGAGTAGAGCAGAAAAAACCAACAAGCGCCAAAAAATAATTGTATAATCTATGAACAAACGTCATGTTAGCTTACTGTCAAAGCTGTCATCAAAAATACAATCGATTTTAATCGATTTGAAATCGATAATCATATTACTTTGCTAAGTAATAATAGACTTTTTCTTCATTTATGTATATAATCGCAATTAAATCCGGCGCATACCGCACTTGTATACAACAAGTATAAATCGCTCATTTAATTACTTTGCATTAATTACCTAGTGCAATGTNTTTTTCTTCATTTATGTATATAATCGCAATTAAATCCGGCGCATACCGCACTTGTATACAACAAGTATAAATCGCTCATTTAATTACTTTGCATTAATTACCTAGTGCAATGTTTTTCTTTTTATAATCCTGTAATCGATTAATTAAATCGATCACACCGTTATACCGACAAAAACTAACTTTCTCATTTTTCTCCGGTCCCAGAGAGAGGATTGAGGTGATTTTTTATATTGTTATATAAAAAAATATGACAATTTTTTTAGATTTCCAAGTTAGTTTTCCAAGTTAGTCAAGTTTAGATTTCCAATTTCCAAGTTATTACATTTTTGGCCCACGACTTTCCGTCTCCTTTACTACAAAGATGGTGAAAAGATTTTTCTGCATGTAACATCCTACACGCAGTCTTTAGTCAGCCCATGAACACGAGAGATAGAGAGAGAGAGCGAGAGAAAGAGAGAGAGAGAGAGAGAGAGAGAGAGAGAGAGTTCAGTTTATTGACATAATTAACATTGGTAATCAATCGATAGGCATGTACAATACGTACAATAGGCGATGTTAACGCTAAAAGCGATTTGTCCGTTTGCGCTATAGATAAATTTTAATGGATGAAATAGATGTTTTTTTCTAATAGTCTCACAACTTACAAGGAAAATCTGTTGATGATCATTTCGTTGGTGCAACTAAATAAATCAATAAAAAAGAACTTGTTTATAAATTTTAAAGACAACTTGGTTTTTTTTTTATTTATTTTTTAAACCATGTTCATTTTCAGACGCGGCAGACGGCGACATAGTGCCGGAGCCCGAAGTCCAGAAGGCGGCCCTCAACGTGCTCGTCAACTGTGTGTGCGCGCCTGTACACAGGGTAAGCACTTGCTACGTCATTACGGATCCTCCCGATCCATTAACGGTGCTTTTAGGTACCTCAAGCACCGGTCAACGTCCTCGTCGAACCCGCTGAGTTTCTCGTCGGATCTTCTCCGTGGGTCGCGTTTCCGATCCGGTGGTAGATTCTGCGAAGCACTGCTCTTGCTAGGGTCAGTGTTAGCAACACTCCGGTTTGAGCCCCGTGAGCTCACCTACACACGTTAGGGTGAAGTTGAAATAGCCTCTCAAGGCTATCAGCTTAGGTGGGGAAAAAAAGCTAGTACACTCAGCAAAGAAAGTGCAATGACTACTGTTGATGTGGTCAAATATAAATAAATTAAGCCAGTAGTAATATTAAACAGATGTGTTATTATAAATAACTTTAATAAGAAAATTAACGTGTTAGCCATGTAACGAAGAAAAGGCAAGAGGGGCTATGACAGGTATCTTATGTATACGCCTAATAGATGACGCTATATCTTTAAGAATCAAAATATTTTTTTTTTTTGATAGTAATTTATTTATTTCTCTCTTAATGGTATAGTACAAATAGAAATAAAAATTTACCTTATAATTAATTTTTTGCTTTGAAAGAGCTAAAGTCTGTACTGAGGCTTTGGTCATTATAAAATTATTATAGATTACAACGACAAACTTGGAAATCTTTACTTGATACCTTATTATTTTTTCTTGGCTAAATTAGTGAACGATTACACGGCTCATGTTAGGTGATAGTGACTACCAGAGTCCATGGACATTAGCAACATAAATTTACCGGTTGTACTGATGGTAGGACCTCTTATGAGTCCGCACGGGTAGGTACCACCACACCGTCTATTTCTGTCGTGAAGCAGTAATGCTTTTCGGTTTGAAGGGCGGGGCAGCCGTTGTAACTATACTTGAGATCTTAGAACTCATATCTCAAGGTGGGTGGCGGCATTTACGTTGTAGATGTCCATGGGTTCCGGTAACCATTTAACACCGGGAGAGTGGCCGTGAGCTCGTCCACCCACTTAAGCATTTTTTTTAAATCTGTCTTGAGACCTATCTCGAGATATTAGTTCTAACTCTCAGTTCACGTGAGATGCTCTAAATTCTATTCCTCTCTCCTAGGCTGGTACGTCAACCACCCGCTTCTCAATAACCGGTTCTAGCAGAAAGAAGACTGCCCTGAAATCCTATGAAGACGTCATACAGAAAGTGTGGGAGAGCGTTCGGACCAACAACGGTATTATGGTATGATTATATTCCTTAAACTCCTTGACGACGAGAGCCATCTCTGGGCCGATAGCGGCGTTAATAAATCTCAAAACTACGGAGGGTAGAGGGTATTTAACGGCCGTCTGGTGTAGTGGTAAGTGACATGGTCACTGCACAAGGGGGTCGCGGGTTCGAATCCCGCCAAGGGAAGATATTTTTATGATAAATATAAAAATGCCTTTTCCAGGGTTATGGATGTATATTAAACATATGTATGTGTATAATAAAAATCTTATATTTATTTCCGCTATTTGGTACCTGTAACACAAGTTCTTTATGAACTTATCACGGGATCAGCTAACGTGGCGTGATTGTTAGTAAATATTTTAATTATATTTATATAGAGGTGAGAAGAACCGTCTCTCTGTTTGAAAAAGTGTCCATTAAAATCTTCTAAGTAAGGGTGGCGCTACAGTAGCAACCGGGTATTTTTTTTAAAAAAGGCGCTGAAAATTATTAGAATAAGATAGAAAAATAAAAAAGGACGAAAGGATTGTAAGGACTACAAAATCACAAAAAGTATTTTATTTAAAGCTGACAAGAAAATGCAATCGATGTCTCCACGTTTTATCACAACAATAATTTAGGTTGATTGACGAACTTAGCTTGGGCTACGTAAACATGTGAGGTTTTGTATATTACACTGTCACTAACTACTCTTCACTGGTGGTAGGATCTATTGTGAGTCCGCACGGGTGGGCACCACCACCCTGCCTATTTCTGCCGTGAAGCAGTAATGCGTTCCGGTTTGAAGGGCGGGGCAGCCGTTGTAACTATACTGAGACCTTAGAACTTGTATCTCAAGGTAGGTGGCGCATTTACGTCGTAGATGTCTATGGGCTCTAGTAACCACTTAACACCAGGTGGGCTGTGAGCTTGTCCACTCATCTAAGCAATAAAAAAAAGATAAGTTGCGAGTAGCGTGTTGCAGCTGCCCTCGGTCCGCAGGTGCTGCTGGCGCTGATGACGGTGAAGTCGCCCATCACGGACGCGGACCGGCTGCGCGGGCTGGCGTGCCGCGCGCTGGCCGGCCTCGCGCGCTGCCCCACCGTGCGGCAGATCATATCCAAACTGCCGCTCATCACCACCTCGCAGATACAAGGTGAGCCGACCGACCGCAGCGCCCTCTGCTCGCTGACAGTAGGGCTGACGTGTCCTTCCTATCAGAACTGGTTTGCGGCAGAGCTCATGTAACGTAGTCACTGACCGCCTAAAGGGCGTCACACATGGTAAAGATACTATAGTATTTTATCATACGATACCTGGATATTATTATATTATATTAAGATTTTTTTTCCTACCTAGCTGAGAGCCTTGAGAGGCTATATCAGCGTAGCCTTAACTAGTAGGTGAGCTCACGGGCTCAACCTGAAAGAGGATGAACAAACCACAGTTCAATAAATATAACGACAATAACTGCTTTCTTTGTACATAAATGATAGCCAATAACCACATTCGATGCGCAAATATATATATATATAGGTCTATTAAAATCATTTCATTCGTACAGCTAGATTCGTTAAAATAGAATTTTTGTTCAGGTATTTCAACTTTAAATTAGTCTACTGTGAAGTTCACGCATTGTCGCTTATGCCCGTATCTTTAGACGTTTCGTCAAATAGTCCTCCACACTTAACTCATCCGATGATGCTCGAGCATTCCTCCCAAACTTACTCGAGTTTGGTATTTTTAGTCGACCATTACAATATTCCTCAACTGTCCTCGAGTGAGGTAGAGAGGTGTTAGTGCGTCACCACAACAACATCAGTTTGAGGAAAATTTGATCAAGCTAGCATCAAACCCATAGAGTTCTGTAGTCTATGGTCATTGTTTAATGTCAAAGTCAAGCTGCCGCTGTCTGTTTGACACTAGAAGCATTGAACTTGTTTGATGTTTTAGTTGCTGAGTTATTCGTAAATATGTGTGGGTGGGGTAAATTTGAAAGTGTGTTATTTATGTAACTCATTATTATTTTAGATTTCGGACACGGCTTTGTATTTTTATTCGCCGTTTTTGTGTGATTTTGATTGCATCGTTTTGTTGAAGTGCTTTTAAAAACCACCAGTTTATTATTATTTAAATAAAACTTATAATCGCATTGATTTTATTTATTAGGTAGTAAGCAAAATATGACTCTTGTAAATAAAATAAGGAGCTTCAAATGTCTAACCACGAGTCTAAACAAGTGTCTAACCTCGAACTATTTACTTTATTAATAAATATTATCAAAATATCCGCGAATCATGCACAGATCCAGGCCATTGCACAACAATATCATATATTTCCATTTGCGGTCCAAATACTATTTGGACTTTGATAGAAAACCAGCCTTTAGGAACGTTCAAGGTACGTCGCGACGTGCCTTGACTTGACAGTTCGTTCACTCTACTCCGGTTAGGAAAATTTTCCAAGGACGTTTGAGTGGAGTTTATTTTTACGACTAATCATACCAAAACGCGCGTTGGAGGTTGAGTCGAGTCGAATTAAGCTCGTGTAAACGACTAAAGATACGGGGGTTAGTCACGTTTGCCTTTCGAGCGTCGATATGTATCTTATACCTTTAAACGAGCAATTCTTGTATATTAATATAAATATAATCTGAATCTCGGAAACGGCTCCAACGATTTTTATAAAATTTAGTATACAGGGGATTTCGGGGGCGATAAATCGATCTAGCTACGATTTATTTTCAGAAAATGTTGTTTTGTTCGTGTTTTCAATAATCAACTTTATGACTCTTCCCGACATCTATTGGCGAGTAATAATACTATTTTAAAGACACAATAACACTAAAGCTATTTCAGCAGATGGCGTTGTTAAGTCACCCAAAGCCAACGAGTGTTTAGTTTAAGGTTAGACCAAGAAAATTAATTGTTTATTTGTAATTTTTTTTTATTGCTCTTGTAGGCAGACGAGCATACGGCCCACCTGATGGTGAGTGGTTACCGTCGCCCATGGACTTCAGCAATGCCAGGGGCAGAGCCAAGCCATATATTATTTAACAAACAAAGCAAAGCTCGGTCATCGTCTACTGTATAATAATCTAGAACGTTCTTGTCCAGTGCTGATGCGCGACCCGATACTCCAAGAGAAGCGCCAGGAGCATGTGATGTTCCAGAAGTACGCGCTGGAGCTGCTGGAGCGCGTCTCCGGGAAGAGCAAGCACATGGGAGCCGAATTCGAAACCTCATTGGCGAATATACACAAGGTGACAGGTTTTTGAATACGCTTTTATTAGCTTCAGACGTAAGTATGTTAGCTTGTCGTAGTCAACATGATGTGTATTTTTTTAAGAGATTTTATGACCTGGTAACTAAGGCCTTTAAGTCATGTCTTATTTTAATTTATATTCTTATTATTATAAAAAAAATTATAATATGGAGTGAAATGAAATGAAGATGATTAATTTGAGACATTAATCAACTGGGATGAAATTAAATGAAATGAGATGAAATGGGATGAAATGTAATTATCTCAGTAAAATAGTGGTCATACTGAGATTTTTTCAGTGGACTTTTTGAAGGATTCCGAGAAGTTACGTCCCACAATTGTGCACTTTCACAGATACTAAAATAAACCAGTTAATAAACCACCGTTATTACGCATTAAAACCTGAAGAAACACTAAATTGACAAAATAAAACAAATCACACAACTCCTCGCGTTCCCGCCAAAAAGTCCCGTCACTTGTACTTTTCAGCCTCGGCACAGATTATACGCTAACACTACTCACGCAAAGGGATACATTTTGAACAGCCTCGTCTGATATGTAAATTTAGTGAACGTCAACTTTTGGTGTCCAGGCAAACGTGGTGGCCCAGACGCGAATAAACTACAACGAGCGTCAACTGCTGCAACTAGTGCAGGAGCACCTAGCGGCCCGCGGACTGCACGAGAGCGCGGCCGTGCTGCAGCGCGAGGCGGGGCTGCCTCCCCCCGCCGCCGCCGCCCCGCCGCCTCCCCCGCCGCCAGTCTACACACCCTCCACGCCCATACGGGTATGTTCATTAAAAGATTCATTCACAATTTCCTATGTCATATTTTCGAAGTGACACTTCTCACGACAGATTCGTTACGGCTAGAGAGAAAAGATACAATTTAGGAAGAGCGAGAGTGAGAGAATGGAGAGAGCGTCTCACGAACCACTCGACCGTGGAGAACGGGGGAAAGCGAGCTAGGTCGTTTCTCTTGTACACAGCATGCCCTATTACAAGAGAAATTTTATTTAAAGATGAAAAATGAAGAAAACCATAATACTACACACCGCTAAAGAAGTTTCACTTCTTTCACGTGGATTTCAATGAAATCGAATCGAATCTGTGGTTAGCACAGATGAAAGTAAAATCTATTTAAACATGCTCACTTACAGGGGTTACGGAGTATTGAGTATGCCAGACAGATATAATCTAAAATATTTTTTTACTGGTGGTAGGACGTATTGTGAGTCCACACGGGTAGGTACCACAGCCCTGCCTATTTCTGCTGTGAAGCAGTAATGCGATTCGGTTTGAAGGACGTCGCTGCCGTTGCGCTTTAAAAACTGAGACATTAGAACTCATATCTCAAGGTGGCATTTACATTGTAGATGTCCATGGACTCCGATAATTATTGAGCATTAAAAAAATCTATTGCTATGTCCGTCCCTAAGCAGTCATGCCTGAAGGTTGGCTCCACTGGCAGTTGGCTTAGGGACCCCGGTAACTATACTTGTCGAAACTGACAAAGAAGTCGACGTGCAACCTAACCCATGCATCATCCCGCTGAGTTTCTCGCCGGGCCTTCTCAGCGGGTCGCGATTCCGATCCGGTAGTAGATTCATTCGCAAATCAGCTACTCTTGAGTTGTTAGGTCTCCTTCGGAGGCGCTCAGGTAGCTGTTACCAAATCCCACCCCTCCTGGCTGAGCCTTTGCTCGCCCACTTGTCCTGGTGAAACTGGAAAGGCCTCCGGGCCACCAGTAATCCTTAAGTAAAAAAAATAAAAAAGTTGTCAAAGAGTTGGTATTGACTGGACAGTCGCGGCTGTCCGTATCGAGGGGCAGCGGCGCGGCGCAGCGGGACAGCGCCGACCCCAACACGCCGCACACCGACGAGGGCAGCCCGATGCCCACGGTCATCAGGCTCAGGTCAGTGGACATGGCTTCTTATTTGAATTTGACTTCTTATGAGACGGTTAAACGAAAAATTTTGAAGAAGGATGATGAAATCGAGCGTCGTCTTAAAGCATAATGTTTTTGTCATTCATTGCTTAAATGGGTTGACGAGCTCTAGACCCACGTTGCGTTAAGTGCCTGTCGCTCATAGTAATTGTTTTGAGATGATGATACATTATCTCGTTTGATGAGTCATTGGATATTATTTTTTTAGAAGTACTGCTTCTTTTATTGCCCGTGTAGGCAGACGAGCATACGACCCATCTGATGGTGAGTGATTACCGTCGCCCATGGACTTCAGCAGTGCCTACCATAAGTACCTTTCACAAGCCTCGTTTGAAGAAGGATATGTCATAGCGCTCGGGAATCCCCGTGGAGGGGAGCTCATTCCATAGCCGGAATATCACATAGCACTTATAGATTCAAAGTGCAAAGGTTATTCTTTAGTTTAAGAACATGGGACTTCGGTTCCCTCTGTATTTTGAACCGTATGTTCCATGGGGAGTGCTCTGAGGGATTGTTTGAGATGGTTCCCTCATCTCCTTTTTACCATCGCACCGCCCGCCACCGGAGTAGAGTTCATCCATACTACCTGGAGCCACTGCGTTCATCCACAGTGCGTTTCCAGAGATCTTTTCCTCGCGTACTTTTGAATGAGCTCCCCTCCACTGTGTTTACCGAGCGCTATGACATGTCCTTCTTCAAATGAGACATGTGGAAAGTATTTGAGGGTAGGCAACGGCTTAGCGCTTTTCCCCTGGCATTGCTGACGTCCTAAGTAACCACTGGCTATTTGATGGCCCCCATCCTCGTCTATCTACAAGGGCAATGAGGAAAATCTATTAAAATGGATGTAGGATTGGTTCGAAACGTACGAAAGAGTGTGGAATGGAGCGTTAAGATGTGAGTGAGAGAAAACGATAAGAATGGGAAAAGAGAATGACGGAGAAAAGGAAAATGGCGAAGACGGTTAAATGAGCAAGGCGTAAAAAGTGTAAATTCATTATTATTATTTTTATTTTTTTATTGCTTATATGGGTGGACGAGCTCACAGCCCACCTGGTGTTAAGTGGTTACTGGAGCCCATAGACATCTAGAACGTAAATGCGCCACCTACCTTGAGATATAAGTTCTAAGGTCTCAGTATAGTTACAACGGCTGCCCCACCCTTCAAACCGAAACGCATTACTGCTTCACGGCAGAAATAGGCAAGGCGGTGGTACCTACCCGCGCGGACTCACAAGAGGTCCTACCCCCAGTAATTACGCAAATTATAATTTTGCGGATTTGATTTTTATCACACGATGTTATTCCTTCACCGTGGAAGTCAATCGTAAAATTTGTTGAATACGTATTTCATTAGAAAAATTGGTACCCGCCTGCGGGATTCGAACACCGGTGCATCGCTTCAACACGAATGCACCGGACGTCTTATCCGTTAGGCCACAACGACTTATAGAAAATATTAGAAAATAAGTGTAATAATAGAATAATTTTATTTTGTATGCGGCGTTCCTGAATCTACATGGATGTACAGGAAGCACCAGTCCCAGACCCCCGGCGTGGGCTGTCTGCAGTCGGCTTGCGAGCAGAAGCGCTCTCTGCAGAAGCAGCTGTCGGCGTGTCCGGAGCAGGGCCCGCCGCCGCAGCACCGCGTCACGCTGCACACCATCATCACCGAGTACCTGTACAACCAGCACGCGCTCTGCAAGAACCCGGTCGTCACCTGCCCGCAGTTCAACCTCTTCGAGTCAGTGGATACGGTTTTTATTGCATATATGAGCGGACAAGCTCACAGCCCCCCTGGTGTTAAGTTAATTACTGGTGTAAGGACATCTTGTGAGTCCGCGCGGGTAGGTACCACCACCCTGCTTATTTCTGCCGTGAAGCAGTAATGTAACTATACTGAGACTTTGGGACATATATCTCAAGGTGGATAGCGCATTTACGTTGTAGATGTCTATGCTCCACTGACCACTTAACACCGGGTATGCTGTGAGTTTCCCGCCGGATCTTCTCAGTGGGTCGCGTTTCCGATCCGGTGGTAGATTCTGCGAAGCACTGCTCTTGCTAGGGCCAGTGTTAGCGACACCTCCGATTTGAGCCCCGGGAGCTCACCTACGCGCTAGGGCGAAGCTGAAATAGCCGCTCAGGGCTATTAGTATATGTAGGGGGAAAAAAAGCGTTGCCTCAAGTTTATATAGTCGTGAATACATTATTGTTAATTGTTAAGATATTTAATGTTCCACTAACATTGGCCCCGATATCGCACGGTCATCTTGTTCGAGCGTTTTAAAGCAAGCTCCGCTGTTTCCGGTACTATGAGAACTAGGTCATATTGTTTCTTACTTAAACGACAGAGCGTAAAGTACAAGTTTCTTTTTTTTATTTAATTATTGTCCTTGTAGGCAGACGAGCATACGGCCCACCTGATGGTGAGTGGTTACCGTCGTCCATGGACTTCAGCAATGCCTACCGTTAAGTACTCTCCGCAAGCCTCGTGTAAAGAAGGGTGTGTCATAGCGCTCAAGAATCCACGTGGAGGAGAGCTCATTGCAAAGCCGGAATATCACTTAGCACTTATAGATTGAAAGTGCAAAGGTTATTCTTTAGTTTAAGAACAGTTTAACAGACGTTTGTCGCTTGTATCGGTCGGTCCCCCCACGCCCCCCTCTAAGGCTACCCGGCCCCCACATAAAAAAATTTTACGTTACGGACTTTTTTTTTTAACGAATCTAGCTGTAGGATTGAAATGGTTTTAATAGACCTAGAAATATATATTTTTTGCGCCTCGAATATGGTTATTGCCTATCATTTATGTAGAAAGCAGTTATTGTCGCTTAGTCATGTTTACCTTTCAAGCGTCGATGTCTTTCCTCCGGTCCATTGATGTGGTTGCGTGGTGTGCAGGCCCCACAAGTGCCCGGAGCCGCGCGGCGCGTGGTCGGTGGTGGGCGCGAGCGGGAACGTGGCGGCGCGCGTGTGGCGGCGCGAGCTGGGCGCGCCCGCCCCGCACCGCCGCCTCGACACGCGCCTCGCGCACGCGCACTTCGCGCCCGCGCGCACGCTGCGCCTGCAGGACGACGACGCGTACTTCACGCACACCGTGTTCCACGTGAGTTCCCTTTGCCTCGCACGAACTGGATAATAAAAAAAAATCTATTATTAGAAATTACGATTCAAAATATTAAAAAAAACATATATAATTGAATATGCAATTTCGAAAAGTGCACACTTCTATACTAATATTATAAAAAGGAAAGATTTGTTTGTTTGTCTTGAATAGGCTCCGGAACAATGAACCGTTTTGAAAAATTCTTTCACTGTTTGGAAGCTACACTATAATTATTCCCGAGTGACATAGCCTATAATCTTTAACGGTTTTAAAGTTGTCGTGGCCTAAAGGATAATACGTCCGGTGCATTCGTGTGTAGCGTTGAAACGGTGTTCGAATCCCGCAGGCGGGTACCAATTGTTCTAATGAATTACGTACTTATAGAGTAAGATCCCATGGCCCCCAGACGTCACGTATTTTCTGACGAACGAAATGTGGCCGATTGCGTAGTGTTAGTATGTACTAAGAATGCATGCCTACCTGCTAGCTTGCTTAGACGGTCAATTTTCAGGTATCAGATACTCAAGGTACATAAAATCATTACCTACTTCACGTATTTTCTGAAAGCTGATTTTTACGTATATTTTAGGCAATATCCTTAAAAATAAGTCGCCAATACTCCCAGACACTTTCCGTCGGCCGAATTGCTTTGCAGACGCTTTAAAGGGCCATCCCCTAAATTCAATTTAATACCTCTTCGGGTAAGAGCGGGTCTCAGTGGGTCGCGTTTCCGATCCGGTGGTAGATTCTGCGATGTACGGCTCTTGCTAGGGTTCGTGTTAGCAACATCGTCAGGTTTGAGCCCCGTGATCTCACCTGCTAGTTAAGGCGACGCTGAAATGGTCTCTCAAGGCCAACAGCTTAGATAAGAAAAAAAATCACCCCGCTGGCAAAAGGCACGAACTTCTAATGTATGAGCAGTTAATATTCACACGTCTGTCTATTGTAATAAAGGTTAATTTCGTTTGTACAGCCGACGCAGCAGCAACTCCTGGCGGCCACCTCCTCGGGCGATATCCGGGTGTTCAATCTGTTCACGGGGGCCGAAGAGAACTCTTATCAAGTTCACGAATCTTACATTTATCATATGCAGGTTTGTGCTTTGTGATTCTTTTATTTTTAATTTTTTTATTACTTAGATGGGTGGACGAGCTCACAGCCCACCTGGTGTTAAGTGGATACTGGAACCCATAGACAGGTACAACGTAAATGCGCCACCCACCTTGAGATGTAAGTTCTAAGGTCTCAGTATAGTTACAACGGCTGCCCCACCCTTCAAACCGGAACGCATTACTGCTTCACGGCAGAAACAGACGGGGCAGTGGTACCTACCCGTGCGGACTCACAAGAGGTCCTACCACCAGTAAGTTGTGACTTTATAGAAATGAGAGCTTTAATATATTTGTGAATATAGAGATGAGAACTTTTAACAAACTTTTTTAACGAATCAAAGACGGTTTGCTTAGAGAGGAGATGTATGGAAATGATAACGCGAGGTAGAGGGCGAAGAGGTCGACCGAAGAAGACGTGGATGGAGTGTGTGAATGACGATATGAGAGAGAGAGAGAGGAGTGAGTGTTGAGATGACAGCTGATAGAAGAGAATGGAATAGACAAATTCGCTGTGCCGACCCCACCTAGTGGGATAAGGTGGAGAAAAAGAAGATGAGAAATGAGAACTTATACTATAAGGGAAACAACCTCTTCACTATTTATCTATAATATATTATATATTAAAATGTTATTAAATAGAAATTTTTTTTTTAATCCTGCATTAAAAATAAAATATTAGTTAAGTTACTGCCATCTACAGGAGCAATAAGAAACTAATAACAAGCCATCTAGTGGCCAACGCCCGTAAACGGAATGTGTATAAGAGAAACGACCTAGCTTGCATCTATTCTCTCACTCTCGCTCGTCCTAAATTGTATCTTTTCTCTCTAGCCGTAACGAATTTGTCGCGAGTTAAATTTTACTTTCAACGCGCCTAGAGAAGTTTCACTTCAAAAAGGTAGTTGCTCTCAGGAGCTGAGTTATGTAATTGTGGTTGTGTATCCACAGACAAGTAGAGACGGGCTTCTGTTGCTGGCGTCAGCCACCACACCCTGGAGGCCGCTCTCCGCCCTGTGGAACATGAAGGAGTTCGAACTGCTGTGAGTATTGCTTGTGGTGCTGAGGTTGGCTGGTGGACGGGGCGCACTCCGAGCCCGCACTTTCATGTCGCTAAGTCATGCACTGTATATGAATAGGAATGGAAGCTCTCGGTCTATGTGTAGTGGTATGTGTTCACAATTGCAAAGTTTTTAATTGAACATTCTCGGGATTTCATATGACATGTCCTTCTTCAAACGCGGATCGTGTACTTAAAGGTAGGCAGCGGCTTGGCTCTGCTGTCGTCCATGGGCGACGGTAACCACTCACCTACTGGTGGTCCGTATGTTGTCTACACGGGTTGTATAAAACAAAGAATCCTTGATGAATACGACGTTTTGAAGTATTTTTTTTTAATATTTGCTTTAAGTTCCCGCTTTAAGCAGTCGGAGGCGATTGGATTGCTAATGAAATGTAAAACTACCTTAATTTCCCGTCTGAGCTACGATGTAGACAGAGACAGACTTATACGTCAATACGTTTTGTAGAGAACGAGACAGGATATCTCGAATCACAAGTCCATTGTTAATGCGGTCACCTCACAACCACCTGGACCAGTGATCGGCTAAACATAGATAACGCCCAATGGCATGCGGTTGATTTAAAAGAAACAAGAACAGAGATACAAGAAAGAGTGTACTTTGTCCTTTTCTGGGCTAAAATTTAAATTTAATTTCGAATTTTTAATTTTTTGAAGTGAAAACTTCTTTAGAATCGTTGTGATTTCAAACCGGTTGCAACGGAAAAACGACAGGTAAGAGACACAAATACAAAAATGTGTAGGATGAAGCCAGCAAAGAGTGAGACAGAAATATACATACTATTTAATACAGCGCCATCTGTGAGATTTTTTAATACTAACGTGTGTATGAAAGCTCTTGTAGTGAATTTTAATTTAGGATTATTACGTGAAATTAAAATATCAATTCACAGAGGGCGCTACCTGACAATTATTTACTAATGACAAAATTTTACATATACTTAAGACGTTTAGGATAATTGTATTTTAATTTTGGAAGGTTTCACTTCTACCACGTGTGAATTGCACACATTTTGTTTTTTTTTTTTTTTTTAATCTAATGGTATAGTTTATAAGCCGTTCAAAAATATAAAACTAATTTTTTCTTTAAGATTTTTAATTAAGCCATTTATTTCAATTCTAAAGTTGCGATGTATTTTTTTTAGCATTGTATTTCAAAAATGTTTACTCGTCTCTCACAATGCGAGATAATAAGTAATATTTCCGTGCCCGGACTAAACATTTCTTGGAAGAGCCGCCGATAGAAGTATAACTTCTCGAAATTTCAGTTTCCAGCTAGACGCCGAGGAGTACGTGGAGTTCTCGAAGATGTCCGACGACCGCATCATCGGCACGAAGGGCGAGACGGCGACGATCTTCGACACGCGCACCGGCCGCGAGCTCATGACGCTCACGCCCTCCATCAGCAACCAGTACGCGAAGAACAGGGCCGTGTTCAACCCCACCGACGAGCTGGTGCTGTCCGGTCAGTGCGCCCCCCCCCTTCTCATTCCTCACTGCCGAGGGTCGTTGTTGCGTTGTGGTGAATGAGAGCGGCCTGTATTTATTAGTTTAGTGTCTTGATTTTTTTTAAGTGATTTTATGACCTGGTAACTAAGACCTTTAAGTCATGTCTTATTTTTATGAAAAATTATATTATGGAATGAAATGAAATGAGATGATATGGAATGAAATATAATCTCAGTAAAATGGTGGTCATTTACTGAGACTTTTTGGAGGATTACGAAGTTACGTTCAGCGAATTTGTTTTATTTTCCCACATTTGTCCACTTTCACAGATATTAAACAGTTAATAAACCACCGTTATTACACATTTTAATCTGAAAAAACACTAAATAGACAAAATAAAACAAATCACACAACTTTCCTCCTCGCGTTCCCGCCAAAAAGTCCGTCAAATATCTTGTGTTGTTGTATGACGACTACCACCACAATCAAACGGAATTTTTTTTTTCATTTTAATGATTTAAAACACTTACAATGTATCCCTTATATTTTTCTCAATGTTTTTCTGTTCGTCAGCGCAGATGGCGTCCTCTGGGACGTGAACACCGGCAAGGAGATCCACAAGTTCGACAAACTCAACCAAACGCACAGCGGGGTCTTTCATCCGAACGGATTAGAGGTAATTGTTTTGGAACGAAGTTCCTTATGGGACGATGCGGAGGGGTACCCTAACCGGGAAAAAACGTCCGTAACGTAAGGTTTTTTTTTGTGGGGGCCGGGTAGCCATGGAGGAGGGCTTGGACCGACCGATACAAGCGACAAACGTCTGTTAAACTGTTCTTAAACTAAAGAATAACCTTTGCACTTTGTATCTATAAGTGCTAAGTGATATTCCGGCTTTGGAATGAGCTCCCCTCCACGGGGATTTTCGAGCGCTATGACATATCCTTCTTCAAACGAGGCTTGCGGAGAGTACTTAACGGTAGGCATTGCTGAAGTCCATTGGCTACGGTAACCACTTACCATCAGGTGAGCCGTATGCTCGTCTGCCTACACGGGCAATAAAAAAAGTGCATTTCTAATAGAAGCAGTACTTCTAAAAAATAATATCCGATGACAATCACTCATCGGCCGGACTATAGTTGAATGACCTTCGCCCCACCAACGCGCCCTCTTGACACATCAACCCTAATAATTCCAGGTGATATCGAACACTGAAGTATGGGACCTGCGAACATTCCACCTGCTCAGGACGGTGCCGACGCTCGACAAGTCAGAGGTGAGTGGAGTCTTTTAGTTCACTTACATTCAAATTGTAAAGTGCGGCGGCTCTCAAAGTTTTTTTTCCACTTAGCGAGGCGCCGGCTCTTAACAATCCTACATATATGTCGGGGAAAGGGTCTTCCTGGTGGCATCGTTATTAGTGGTTGTGGTCTTAGTGGGCGTCATGGGGATAAAATGCGAGCACAAAACACAATGGATGCCGTTTTATCACTAGTTTAATTTTATTTTAAATTGTTAAAATCGTATAGCAGAGAGAATATAACAGTTGAGACTGAGCAGCGAGTTCGGTTCACCAATCTCACTTTAACTATCTCCAACGATCCAACTCGATACGTTTTTATGCTCAAAAAATGTGTCAACCGACAATACAAGCCTTCCCAAAGTAAAGATGGCGCGTCGACCACGCTCGAGGCAAACGCTCTGCTCTGATTGGTCGCTGCTTACTTGAATTTTCAGTTTTGGTACCTTTTATTACAAGTTATTTTAATAAAAAGTTTTAAAGCTATAGAAAGACGTAACAAGCAAAATAAAATAAAATTAGAAATTATAAAAGTAATTACAACGTAAAAATAATAATAATAAGCGTTATGCATGAAACAAGAATCAACTCGACTCATTGCTTCCTCTGACATATAGGTAGTTTTTCCAATTACAGCACAAGAGCGCATTTTGCGGCATAATGAATGCTCAACTAAGCTTCAGCTTCAGTAATTGGAAAACTACCATATATTCTATTCTTTTTTTGTATTTTAATAGAAATTTGATATGGCAACATTCGATAAACGATTTGTATATTTATCTCGTATTTATGCACTCGAGAGATGCAAATTACTCCCCGAATCCTGATGACGCAGGAGCGAGTCACCGTCGTCGCCTTAGACACGTCCTTACGGATCCATCAGATCCAATAACCTTTGCTTTAGACGCCTTCAGCTCTAACACTAGGAGCAGGCTTAGGGACCTCGGTAACCGTACTCGTCGAACTCGACAAAGAGTTCGCCGTGCAACCTAACCCATGAATCAGCCCGCTGAGTTTCTCGTCGGATCTTCTCAGCGGGTCGCGATTCTGATCCGATAGTAGATTCATTCGCGAAGCAATTGCTCTCAAATTGTTACGTCTCCTTCGGAGGCGCTCGGGCAGCTGTTAGCAAATCCCACCCCTCCTGGCTGAGCCTTTCCTCGCCCACCTGTCCTGGTGAAACTGGAAAGGCCTCCGGGCCACCAGTAATTGAAAATTCTTAAATTTCGTAAAGGATGAGTCGCTCGGTATATTCGTATCGAGTGATGCAACGGTATCCGTGTTCGAATCCCACAAACAGGTACTGAGTGCTTAGATCAGCGCCCCTAGCGGCAAACGCAGGCAAACGTTCAAACTCCATACAAATTCGAGTTAAATTTTACGCTATCGAGAACGTTAAAAAAACTCTCATTAAGCACTGTTTTTTTTCTAATTAAATACATACTTAAGAAATGTTCACGAATGACTTCCACAATGTAGGAATAACATCGTGTAATAAAAATCGAAATTGTAATATACGTAATTACTAAACAATTGAGATACAGATCTCAAGCAACAAAGTCGTGATGTCTTTTTTATTTTATTTATTGCTTAGATGGGTGGACGAGCTCACAGCCCACCTGGTGCTAAGTGGTTACTGGAGCCCATAGACATCTACGACGTAAATGCGCTACCCACCTTGAGATATAAGTTCTAAGGTCTCAAGTATAGTTACAACGGCTGCCCCACCCTTTAAACCGAAACGCATTACTGCTTCACGGCAGAAATAGGCAGGGTGGTGGTACCTACCCGTGCGGACTCACAAGAGGTCCTACCACCAGTCTATAACCGGTAATAACGAGCGGGCCGTGAGCTCGTTCATCCGTGGACAGAAACGTGTATCCGGGGGGAGACTCCACGACCGCACAAGCCCGTCATAGGCTGATAATCCAGTTGTGGTTTCGTCCAGGTCATCTTCAACCCGACGTGCACCGCCCTGTACGCCGTCTTCTCGGACCAGGACCCCGAAGACAGACACCAGTTCGACACCAGCTTCAGGACCTTAGACCCGTACGACTATTCCAGTATAGGTGAGTCGCGCAGACTTTACAAGGGCGGGATGATAAGTACCTAGCCTAATAATGAAACACTTAACTTTCCATGATAAAATTAATTTTATTTTTCGACATAGTCTCCGTGAACCTCTACGCACTTATTCCATCTTCGTTCTAAAGCAGTAATGCCTTCCATAAAATTTTTTTTTTCGAGGCCTGTAAAATACTCCTCTACAGCGGCTATGACTTCATCATTTGTGGCAAATTTCTGTCCGCTCAAAAAAGTTTTGAGCTTAGGGAATAAGTGGAACTCTGATGGCGCTATATCAGGCGAATAAGGTGGGTGGGGCAGCAAATCTTACTTCAATTCGTTGATTTTTGCCATAGCTTTAACACATGTGTGACCCTAGGGTGGAAAATGTTTTTTTTTCCGCCAAATCTGGTCGTTTTTACTGAATACATTGATGAAGATTATCTAGAAGATTAGTGTAGTCTTATCTGTTAATTGTTTGACCTTTAGGAAGGTAATCTATCATCAAGATCCCAACTGCATCCCAAAAGACGGAAGCCATGACTTATCCAGCCGACTTTACAGCCATGACCTTTTTTGGAGCCGACCATCCCGATTGCGTCCACTGTTTTGATTGAATTTTTGATTCTGGCTTGTAATAATGAACCCATGTTTCATCTGCTGTTACAAATCGACGTAAAAAATCGGCTTTATTACTCTGAAACGGTCCAAACATTCTTTTGAGTTTTGCACTCGATCGACTTTTTTGATCGTGCGTAAGCAATCGCGGCACCCAACGGGCCGATGACTTTTTCCTATTTAATTCCTCATTTAGGATATGATGTACCCGGTCTTTTGAGATGCCTGTAGTGTCAGTTATTTCAGATAACTTCAATCGTCGATCTGTTAAAACCATATCATGTACTTTCACGACCATTTCCGGTGTCGTGACGCTTTTTGGACGTCCGGGTGGGCTTCATCTTGGACACATGTACGACCGCGTTTAAACTAATCCACCCAGTTTTTTACTGTGGCATAAGAAGGAGCACATTTACCTAAAACATTATTTAACTCGTCATAGATATCTTTCCCCTTCATGCCCTACATATGAAGAAACTTTATCACCACTCTTTGTTCAAATTTATCCATTTTGAAAACACTTGACGAAATATATTTTCAAATGACAAAAATTCAATAAAATTTTCACGCCACCAAATTGAAATTTAGAACACAGGTGGCCAGAGAGACGAATTTACAAATGACATATTTAATTTTTGAATTTTAACTTTTTAAATAGCAGAGGCTAGTTACTTATCATCCCGCCCTCGTAGATGCTAAACCACACACCCTGTATAAACTCTATGACACTGTAGAGAAATCCTTTTTTTAAACTCTCCTCCTCGCGCCGTTTCCTCACTGCCGAGGGTCGCGACCATCATATTTCGACAGGATTATACTCCTTGTCCCTCCAGCGCCTCCGATCATTGGCCGCATTCGTGGAATAGCACCTCTTATCTATGGGAGTTTAAAAATTAAAATATGTTTTTATTTATTCCTAAGATGAGTGGACAGCTCACCTGGTGTTAAGTGTTTACTGGAGCCCATAGACATCTACAAAGTAAGTGCGCCAGCCACCTTGAGATATAAGTTCTAAGGTCTCCGTTACAACGGCTGCCCCACCCTTCAAACCGAAACGTATTACTGCTTCACGGCAGAAATAGGCAGGGTGGTGGTACCTACCCGTGCGGACTTCAATACTAATATAAAAAGTTTTTCGTTGCCCGTTCGACAGCCACGATAGACGTGAAGCGGAACATATACGCGCTGAGCGTGTCGCGCTACGGCACCCAGATCTCGGTCGTCGAGAACATGGGCGAGTACGACCAGATGCAGGAGTCGTGCGTCAAGATATACGACGTGGGGCGGAGGAGGGACCACGACGACGACGCGGTCTGTATATGCAGGAGGGGTGGTCTGATGAGGATGAGGATGATGAGGCCGCGGTACGGTAGGCAGCGGCTTGGCTTCGACCCTGGCATTGCTGAAGTCCACAGGCGACGGTAACCACTCACCATCAGGTGGGCCGTATGCTCGTCTGCTTACAAGGCCAATAAAACAAAGGCCGTTCCAAAAAGGATTATCGGTTGTTTTTTTTTAATTGATTTTATGACCTGGTAACTAAGACCTTTTAGGTCGAGTCTTGATTTTAATTTTAATGAAAATTGCACTATATGAAAAATGATATTGTGAAATGATATGGGATGAAATATAATCTCAGTAAAAGGGTGGTTATTTACGCAGACTTTTTAGTGGACTTTTCGGAGGATCTCGAGAAGTTACACTCAGTTTGTTTCATTTTCCAACATTTGTGCACTTTCACAGATACTAAACAGTTAATAAACCAACTACCGCATGCGTTTAAATGCGTTATTACGCATTTAAACCTGAAGAAACACTAAATAGACAAAATAAAACGACAGAACTTCACTCCTCGCGTTCCTGCCCAAAAGTCGGTTGAGAAACAGAAGGGAAAACTAGTTGAAACAAGTCTAAAATATCTTTCAAAGCAACAGTCCAATGAGTCTCTCAGTGGGCCGCGATTTCGATTTTTTTTTTTATTGCTTAGATGGGTGGACGAGCTCACAGCTCACCTGGTGTTAAGTGGTTACTGGAGCCCATAGACATCTACAGCGTAAATTCCGCCACCCACCTCGAGATATAAGTTCTAAGGTCTCAGTATAGTTGCATCTGGTGGTAGATTCAGCGAAGCACTGTTCTTGCTAGGGCTAGTGTGAGCAATTTGCTCAGGTTGAGCCCATGAGCTCACCTACCCGTCCGCAAGTAGCTGAAATAGCCTCTTAGGCTACTAGCGAATAGGTAGGGAAATATAGGAGATCCAGTGTAAAAGCACAGGACTAGGTTAGAGTAGCTTTCAACTTTGTGCTGTCCAATAAGTTATAGGTCAAAATGAAAGCTCTTATCACAAATATTTTAGGTTCAATGCAACTCCACGTATTTTTGTTGAGTAGTCAATTGAATAATAAAACTGTTTTTTTGTATTTTTGAGTAATTGACAAAATGATAGTCTTCCATAGAGCTAAGCGATGGAACTGCTCAGATATGACATTCAGTCATTTCTCAAACATGTTCCACTCTGTGATGTAGTTGCTCCCCACAAAGTTATGTATAGTTGTGACGTTGTGACGTTTCGCTTCCAGGACGAGGACGAGGAGGAGGACCTAGCCGGCTCGGAGAACGACGACGGCTCCGACTCCGGGTCCGATAACGACGACGACCGTGAGTACTGTCCTGTCCGTACGCACGTGAGCATGCACTTGCACACACACACACACACACATGCAAATACATGAAGTCAGCGTCGGAACGGTACTTCGATAAGGCTATGCGTCATGATAATCGCCTTATCGTTGTCGCCGCTGACCTCCCCGAATCCTGATCACGCAGGAACCAGTCACCGTCGACGCCCTAGACACGTCCTTACGGATCCATCAGATCCAATAACCTTTGCATTAGACGCCTTCAGCTCTAACACTAGGAGCAGGCTTAGGGACCCCGGTAACCGTACTCGTCGAACTCGACAAAGAGTTCGCCGTGCAACCTAACCCATGAATCAGCTCGCTGAGTTTCTNGTCACCGTCGACGCCCTAGACACGTCCTTACGGATCCATCAGATCCAATAACCTTTGCATTAGACGCCTTCAGCTCTAACACTAGGAGCAGGCTTAGGGACCCCGGTAACCGTACTCGTCGAACTCGACAAAGAGTTCGCCGTGCAACCTAACCCATGAATCAGCTCGCTGAGTTTCTCGCCGGATCTTCTCAGTGGGTCACGATTCCGATCCGGTGGTAGATTCATTCGCGAAGCAGCTGCTCTTGAGCTATTAGGTCTCCTCCGGAGGCGCTCGGGCAGCTGTTAGCAAATCCCACCCCTCCTGGCTGAGCGTTTGCTCGCCCACCTGTCCTGGTGAAACTGGAAAGGCCTCCGGGTCGCCAGTAATCCTTCAATCATAAAAAAAAAACACATGCACTCGCACACGAACATACATGCACACACAAACCGCAGGTCTTTAAATTTCCTATTGAAAAAAAAAAATTGTCAGTCTTTCACGTCGAAATGAGGCAAAGGATTGACATTTTTTTTTAAACTATTGCTTAGCTTTTATCGGGGGCTTTGAGCGCGGTGACCGAATCGAGAAATTTCGTAACGAAAATAAAACCTAACACCCCCACTCCGCCTACCATGTAGCTCGCGTTCAACACATTCACAGGTTGTGATTGTGTAGTGTTTGTGAATAAGCGCGCGGCGTGACGTCGCACTGCATGCGCATCATGTGTGTATGAGTATGAAGAGGACAGCTAATGCTAACAAATATAGCGTGGTCTTATTATTGTTTTAATATTCAATTATCATTGTCCAATTAGTATTGCATAAGTTGATAAAAAATGCTATGCAATAGCTTCACCGCGCCAGTCCCCGAGTGCCACACGTGTTTGGTTTTTTTTTTAAAGACCGTATTACGTCAGAACAGTGGTGTAGAGACAACCGTTCATCCCGAAATGAATTACTCGGCGTAAGTTTTAAAACTGTTTTCATTGGCGACCACGAATGCCGTTTCTTTCAAGCCACTGGCCTCAACCGAGGATCACAAACATAGAAATATGTAGATTTTAATCTTGCGCTAGCTGACCAGGCAGACTTGGTAGTGCCTCAATCGATAAATAAAAGACCTAAACTTTTGTATAAAATAAACTTAAAACAAACAAAAGGAATCCGTCCGACGGGGGACACATCAAAGGAAAAACACAAAATTGTTATTTTTATATAATTCCGAGCAATCATATAAAAATGACAGATTCCAAATTCAAATGTAATATTTTGTTTATTTTTAATTGTAACAGTATTTATGGCCAGACTAAGTATACACACATACATACATATAATAGTTTATACAGTATTAAAAGGAATATATTAATAAATTTCCTTAACAAATAACTTCATCTTAATAAGTTCAACGTTATTGACGTTGAACATTTATTAATGTTACACTTTTTTTTTCTCTTTCATGTATTCGCTGTCGATTGAAATCGGGTCATCATCGTGGTTCAGTGGCCTCGAATTTGCTACGTAACGCCGTGATGGGGCTGGCCGAGGATGGGAGTTCAGGGGAGTCGTCGCGTGAGGACAACGAGCCCCCGCAGCGGAGGAGACGCAGGAGGAACCCGAGGAGAAGAGGGGTAGGGCATCCTGTGTTAGCGCCTTAGTCCCGAGTCCTTTAACGTTCTCGATCGCGTGAAAGTTAACTCGGATTAGATGGGTGGATGAGCTCGCAGCCCACCTGGTGTCAAGTGGTTACCGGAGCCCATAGACATCTACAACGTAAATGCGCCACGCACCTTGAGATATATTTCTAGGGTCTCAAGTATAGTTACAAGTTTCTTACTTAAAGCCTAATATTCGGAATGCACAAAACACAGCCCACTGAGTTTCTCGCCGGATTTTCTCAGTGAGTGATCCGGTGGTAGATTCTGCGAAGCACTGCTCTTGCTAGGGCTAGTGTTAGCATATTCTCTCAAGTTGAGCCCGTGAGCTCGCCTCCCCGTCCGCTTGTAGTTTGAATAGCCTCTTCGACCACCAGCGGATAGGTAAATAAAAATAACCAGAGTCACCGAAACATTATTTATTTATTTAAGTTCAGCTTAGTCGCGTTGCTAGATACAAGTGCACCAGGCGTCATATTCTTTAGCTTAAATGATCGAATTCAGTCTGCATCTGTAGTAGTATATAGAGATACAGTATACAGATACAGTATACAGTAGCGGCAATTAGATTTTTCTCACTCATTGAAATGTGCTATTAATATTTCTGGACTTGAGATTTCAGTGAAATCAAAAGATGCGTATTTTTGAAAAACACGTTGGCGTGTGTATTTCTGAATCAGTTATCGTACGTTAAACGGTAGGCAGCGGCTTGGCTCTGCCCCTGGCATTGCTGACGTCCATGAGCGACGGTAACCACTCACCATCAGGTGGGCCGTATGCTCGTCTGCCTATACGGCAATAAAAAAATAAAAATAAAAGTACAGTTTTATAGGATAGTGGGGTCAGGGAACAATATTCTGAATCAATTGCAACCGCACACCTTTCTTGCGTCACACACATCTCGATAGTTCTATTGATGGCGAAAATTTACACAATAATACCAATAATATAAAATACAGATACAATAATTTCAAGGATCGACATCCTCAGCATAGCAGATGCGTGAACACTCAAGCATAGGGTCATTGTAATAAGACGCTATTCCATTTCATCTCACCGAACATCTATTGAATGTCTGTCTCCTCAGACCTAATTTAATTCCATCTTATTTAGTTAAGATTTCGGATTTTTGTTACAAAAGATGTGGCTGTTTGAATCAGGTTTCCTTTGTCTATCGAATTGAGGAATCAAACGAATTAAATATTACAACTTTTTTTTTTCTCGTTTTAATGCGGCAATAGATGCATAGTCCGTAATGCCTATTACAATGAAACTAATGGTTTGTTTGTTTTTTTTAGCAGCAGGGCGGCCCTCGACAAAGCAGCGACAGTGACGGCGAAGGAGACATAGACCTGGACCTCGGAGACATTATAGAGTTTGAAATCGACTAGACAATAAACGTTCAAATCTAAAAACAATAATCTTTTATTTTTATGTACCTATTGGTATGCGTAATTATAGTACATTGTGCACCAAGGGAGAAAAGTGCTTATAAAAAAATGCTTATAAAAAAACAATTTAACTGTTTTTTAATTTTTAAATAAACTACTACTAATTGAATAAGAACTGTCTGATGAACTCATCTTTGTTTAATACTTCACTATTAAATTTTATTGCCTTTTGTTTATTTCACTTTTACACTGAACAGAATATTGCAAATTACCCGAGCACAACAATGGCGGAGAATTTTAGGTGCGTGAGAGCAGACGCGCATGCGCACTTGTCAGTACCCAGGGAGGAATAGTTACACTTTCTTCCCTGTACAGCGGGACGAAAACCTAACTTTCGGCGTAGGTAGGAGAAAAGAATGTTTCGTCCCGACATTATTAGTATTTTCGACGTTGAGGTTGACGGAAAATACAGAAAAACCTGAACTGGTATATGCCATGTTAAAAGGAGGAACAGAAAAGTCCTTCAGTATGGCAATAGACGTGCTATTGGAAACAGGGGAGGGGTGACATCAGCGACGGTCGCTCGTACAACTGGTGAGGAGTCTCTCTGCAGAGTGGTTAGGGAACACGCTGCACCGACTAGACAATGTGGGATTATACAATATAAAAAAGGGCAAGATAAAAAAAAAATGTCAGTCATATGGATTGTCGCTAGAATTGAAAGTTTAAAACTTAGAATTTCATTATTATAATTCTTATTATCAAAATTAAAAAAAAATGCTAACTTATAACTTAGAATTTCATTATTAAAATTCTTATTATTAAAATTAAAAAAAAATCATACTTATAACTTAGAATTTCATTATTAAAATTCTTATTATAAAATTTAAAAAAATCATACATATAATTTAGAATTTCATTAATAAAATTTGAAATATCATGTTTAAATTAAAATTATCAATTACAATCAGGTTTTCACATGTATTGACAATCGGAGCAACAATTTTACACATGTTTATAATATGGTCTATTTATTATTCAAAGATATCACGGGCTGTACAAAATATAAATATAATTTAATTGAAATAACGATATACTCTATGGCTTTTTATGAAATCCATTCAATTTTACTCGTAAACATACAGGGCTAATGTTGCAAAATACGTCACCTGTATAGCTACATAATGCTATTACGCATGTCATATGCTATTACATATTACTGGTGGTAGGACCTCTTGTGAGCCCGCGCGGGTAGGTACCACCACCCTGCCTATTTCTGCCGTGAAGCAGTAATGCGTTTCCGTTTGAAGGGTGGGGCAGCCGTTGTAACTATACTGAGACCCTTAGAACTTATATCTCAAGGTGGGTGGCGCATTTACGTTGTAGATGTCTATGGGCTCCAGTAACCACTTAACACCAGGTGGGCTGTGAGCTCGTCCACACAACTAAGCAATAAAAATAAAAAAGAAAGTCGGTGACGCGAAACCATAAGATTTTCCCTTTATATAAAATGCTTAATGCAGCTACAAAAGTTACTATTTTGGACCTTTCGAATAGTCAACAGTTTACGTGTCGGGGACGACTGGGGTCTTATTCACAGACACTTAAATACACACTGATATTGTTTTTTTTTTCCTACCTACGTACTTATCACCCTGACGTGTAGGTGAGCTCACAGGACTCAAACCGGAAGTGTTGCTAACTTTGGCCGTAAGTAGCAGCGCTTCGCAGAATCTACCACCGGATCGGAAACGCGACTCGCTGAGGAGATTTGGCGAGAAACTCAGTGGGCTGTGTCTATGGGTTAGCTTACTCGTCGAGAATTTCGACGCAGGCGACGGGTTCGGCGAGGACGGTGACCGGTACTTGAGGTACCTAAGGTATCGTAGCCTAAGGTTCTTAATATGTTTTATTAAGGTCTTTTTATTCTTACTTTATTAAGATACCTAAGGTTATCGTAGCCTAAGGTTCTTAATAGTTATGTTATTTATGTATGTGTAATAATTATGTAAGATACTTCACTGCAACCGTTTTTATTTTGAAATTAAACAAAAAAGAGGACATCAATATGTTCAACGATTTATCATTTATAAGAAAAACCAATGTAAATCCCATTACACGTACTTACAGATTCAATATTACATTACGGACAAGTAATGTATTACATTTTAAGATATGAACAATAATTGTCAACTAATTTATTCAATTACAATTTATTGATTTAATCATTTTCATACATTTTTCTAGGGGGATAGAATTTCATGCTTCCACAAATACTTCTTAAAGTTCGTTTTGACTAGTGTTACGTTTGTTTGAGACTTTCTTTTTAACAAAATACCACAGATTTTCTATCGGGTTTAAATTCGGCCTATTCGCTGGCATGTCCAAAACGGACGTTCGCTAAGAAAACATTTGACGCTATTGGCCATGTGTTTAGGGCCGTCGTCATGTTGAAAGATCCAGGTTACAGGCAAATGATCGTCCGAGTAGGGAATCATTGTGTGCTCTAATTTTTGTATTGCCATTGATCCATTGTGACTTCAATCTTCCGAACGGGTCCAACTACACATCCGGAAAAACACCCCCAAACTTTAATGTTACCGCCATCGAGCTTGACTATACTCCTTGTGTGCTTATCATTAAAAGCATTGTTTACAGGACGGCTTTTCATCGGAATTTTTAATACGCTTTTATTAGCTTCAGACGTATGTGTGTTAGTATGTAACGGAATCTTTGAACATGATTTTGACCCCCTTCAAAACGTCGGATTAACTCGAAGTTTGATACTTATTAAGGACTGATGACAATGCAATATTAAAAAAAAAATGAAAAATTTGAAATTCAACTAAAATATTAAAAATAAATAATAGTTTTGAAAAAACTAACAAAATACGCTTTTATAGAAAATCCAACATGCGTGGTACCAGTAGCTATGTATATATATTTTATGAACAGATATGAGTAGAAGGTTATTCTGATAATATCCTGAAAGTACCCCACGGTTTTTTTTAAAGTAAAATCATTTTTTCTTACACTATTTTTAATTCAAATTTATTAATATTTATTTTAAATTTTTTTTTTGGTTGGAATTTCTATAAAAGCGTATTTCTTTTTTGTTTTTTTTAAACTTTTAGATATTCATATTTATTTTTGTTTCATCTGAAAATAATACTTTTGTCCATTCTCGCACCGTCCCATTAACATCATAATATTTTTAGCGAATAACAATCACTTATCTCTGTGTTGCTTGGTAAAAAGCAGTACCTACCTTTCGAGAGGTTCTTTTCCAAACAATTTAGCTTCCACTAATCTTCGGCGCATTAATCTTGGCGAGATATTTCTCGGGTCATCAGGCGAAAAAACTTCATTTTTAATCTGGTTGGGCCTTTAATTGGGTCTTTTTTAGCAACGCGAACGATTAGCGTATCTTCTCTGGGAGATGTTTTTCTTGGCCTAGCCTTTGTAAGAACATTTTCAACAGTTCCATATGTTTAGAAATTATTATAGATCAATTGTATTAAAAACTTATTATCTATATGTAAATTAATAATTATTTGCCTAGTTGACACGGAACAACTTTTATTTTTGCCCATTTTTATTTGCATTTGAATTTTGAATTGCCGCCAAAATAATAATAAAAAGCCAAGAAAGAAAATAAATGTTATTCTCCAATTTCAAAAAAAGAACGAGCTATGGACGCTTTTTTAAAATGTTTTTAATTTGGCGTTCAAGCGGCCAGTAACAAAAAATAAGCTCCTACATGTGTAAGACTCATTTTGTAATTAAAAGTAAAATAATATGGTTTATATTTTATGCATTTAATAAGTTCTTTATTTGAGTGGCTATATTATTGCATGATTATTAAATAATGAATGTGTATATTTTTTACGAACATTTGTACCATAGATAATACACATAAACTAGTTATAGATAAGCAACTCAAGCACTCAACAAAAATTTTTACGGGCGTCGGCCACTAGATGGCTTCGCTTCGATTAGTTTCTCATTGCTCCCATAGATGGACGCAACGTATTACCTATCCTAGATTTTATTTTAATGAAGGATTTTGTGAATTTTAAGAAACCACTAATTGATAAAATTTATTCAATTTGTCTATAACAAATAAAGACTTGTATGATTTATTTATTTTCTAAGTTTAGTTACACAATAATTAAATATCTTAACTTTAACAACATATAAGTTTAGGGGCATCCGCTACAAGATGTCGATAGTTTCCATACAAAAAAGATTTATCTTAAAGTATCGCAGTTTCAGGGCCCTGATTTTTACCTTGAAGTTATACTTTTTTTATTCATAAGAAGTGTTTCTAATTCTATGACTATCACTTTGAGTATTAAGATTACTGACATCTACGTTAGTTTGCAAACGGAAACACTCGACAGTATATCGAGTTATAGCAGTTTGTACTTTAGGTTTTCATTTTCAAGATAAACAAAAGTTAAAGTGGGTTAACTTGCAGAAAATTGATACAAAGAACACATTTTTGCTTCGTAGTAACAGGCAAAGCGATGGTAAATACTTAAAGCTTCAATGTCATAATCACACAATATTGATGGACCTGGACGAATAGTACCTTTTTTTTTTTTTTAATTTCCGATAACGATCTATTTGATAAACGGTAGGTATCTATATTATTAAAAGAAATCGCACCTTTAGAATTCAAGTAGCTTAATTAAAAATGAGTTTTATACTTCGAACGGCTTATAAACAAACATGTATTCTATCGATTTATAAAATTAAACAGTCTGTTTTAGTCCAGAATAATAAGACAAAGTAACCTTTCCGTCGCTTTTAAGTCAAGCGCATACCTTCAAATATTGAAATCTTCTTTCTTCTTCCATTACATTAAATTGGAGTATACTAAAAAACGATAATTTTGGATTAAACATTTCAATGATAAATGGGCGAAATGTATATACCTAATTGTAGGAATCCAATAATTGAAACTGTTTCTAAATGATTTATGTGTAAGGAGTTTGGAATGAACATCGATTAAAAAAAAGTTGAAAAAGTGTCTACCCAAGTGTAAACAGCAAACTACCGAACCGAAACCAATATAGCGCTTTAGGTACAAAATGGAAATTATATGAATATAGTAATTATAAGCAAAGTAAAGTGACTTGTTGAGTTTTCGTGACTTGTGTAGTTAGATAAAAATTGTGCAGTATTTAAAATTTCACTTCAATATTTTTATCACTATTTACGTAGGAAGTGTGTCTTTCCTTAATAATATTAATAATAATCCTACTATAATAATTATTAATAATTGATGACGCTGTTTTTAATCGATCCACTTGCTACTACGGCGCTATCTTAATTAGCTTCCGTTCAGCTGACACTTTTTAATACACTGGGATGGTGTACTTTACATCTACCCTCCACAACATATTATAGCTGAAGATTTTTACAAACTCAATCTTGGCAACAAATAATCACCCAAGAAACCAATTGTTCTCCCGCCAAAAAGTAGATTAATCTTGTCAAAACTGCGAAAACGAACCATGGACGCATGGACTCTTTTAAATTAATATATTATTTATGCCATGGACTGTATTTGAATTTGAAAGAACTTTTTGGCGGGAACGCGAGAAGTGAAGTTGTGTGTTGTTTTATTTTCTCTATTTAGTGTTTCTTCGGGTTTAAATGTATAATAACGGTGGTTTATTAACTGTTTAATATCTGTGAAAGTGCACAAATGTGGGAAAATGAAACAAATCTATTGGACGTAGCTTCTCAGAATCCTCCAAAAAGTCCACTGAAAAATCCTCGGTAAATAACCACCTTTTTACCCATTATTCATTCACTACACCATCCCATGCCATCTCATCTCATTTCATTTCATTCCAGTTCATTCAATTAATCATGTCTCAAATTAATCATTTTCATTTCATTTCACTCTATATTAGCATTTTTCATAAAATTACGAATATAAAATAAAATATGACATGACCTAAAGGTCCTAGTTACCAGGTCATAAAATCCCATAAACAAATGAATTTGAAAGTTGAAGGTTGAAGTTATTATTTTTAAACAATCACGAATTAAAAAAGTATTAATTGTACATTACATACTACCTTCGCTCAAAGTAATATTATTCTCATTCTGTGCATACTACGTTATTGAATCAGTAACCTAAGCTTATTAACTGCAATTCATATCTACCCCTAAATAATTATAAATAAAGTAGGTACATTTTCTATAATAAAGTTCGTAATAATGAGTACCGCGGAATTAAACTCATCTCAGCGGAAAAGCAAGTACATTAGTATGTACGAAACTGTAACTGCTCTAGGTAAGATACGAATATATATTTTACAAATAATCTCGACAAGTGTACAACTAAGTGTTACATTTAGTGCCGAAGTATTGTGGGCTTTAAAAACATTTTGGGACCTGGGTATTAAATCAAACTGTAAATAACACACACTAAATATTCATAATCGCTTCCTCAAAATTAGTAATGAAGCAGGGAGATAATTATCTTACAGTAATGTACAGACTGGACAATCCAACCTGTACATTTATATATTTGAAAATCGAAAGCTAAGTGAATACGCCTGCCCTCAGCATTTTGTGGTAATTTATTAATTACCTAATAAATATTTTTAATTTAATATTTCCGTCCTTTGGAATGTTTTATAGCCTTCTTCAGCATACCACGCAAGATTAAACTTCAAATCATCTTTTTTCTGCTACTAATTCTAATCCACAGGGAACCAGACTGATGTCATACCAGCATGGCTGATCTGAAACTCTTTTAAAGATTACAATATTTCATAATTAGCATTGCAGTTTTTTTCAGATATATAATAATATACCTTAACTTAAAATCTTTTATTTATGTTCAAACAGAAGATCAAAATGCGAGCAATCAAGAATGTCTAGATGTTACACACAAAGTTGTGAAAGAGGCAAAGCAACTGGTCCAGGAAGGAGGTGTTGACCATCGCAGCAAACATCCTGGTATGATATGTTCAATATTTAATTTTCTAAGATGTTTCGAGTGGTACACATGCCTATTTGTGTGTCTTCACATTCCCGATCCTGTGGACAGATTCCCGATTCTGCAGACATGGAAAGCAGTCGACGTCGCCCCAAACACGTCATTTCGGATCGTCCCGATCCACTAATGGTGCTTCTAGGTACCTCAAGCACTGGTCATCGCCCTCATAGAACTCGTCGCTTGCTTTTATCACATTTCATTGATAACTCACTAAGTTTTAAAGGAGATAAAATCAGTTAAATTTGGTAAGTTATAAACTGTATATTATTACACTATACTGAGACTAATTATGTTTAACATGAATCATGCGAGACTCGTGTCCTGTGAGATTACAATCAAAATTAACTTACCTAGTACAACTCGAGTAGTGAAAGTAAGAAAGATCACCAAAATTCTGCAAGCTGGTCAGTTTCCAGAATAGTTCTGAGTCTGTTATTCTGCAGGTGAGGGATTGCTGGACGCTCGGGTCCTCCACGCATCTTCGAATCTAGCGAAGATGTGTCTCGAGACAGTTGATGTGAACATGCATTTATACGACAAGAACCAATTAGCACAGCACATTGTGAGTTAAATTGATATGACAGTATTTTCTAGTAATTCAAGATATTGTACATTCTACAGTTCTATAGCATTTATAGTCTTATATTAAGTGGAAGGAAACTGTTTCTGAAGCCTGAAAAAAGGAGTAACAGCCTCACCAACTTTACTGGAATTAAATTCCTTTAAACGGAAATCATTGCATTGCTTGGTTACAAAACTATTAAAAGAATATTAGTTAACCTTTCGGTTTCTTGGTTTGTAATATATGGTTTCTAATGGCCAATGTGACTTGTAATAACTAAAATGTATTTGATATTTAATCTATTGAACTAAATGATGAAACTACATAATTAAATGCATAAAAAATACTACCTCTATCCCCCCTTTCTCTTTGTCCTCATATTTTAATAATACAATTCAAGTTTAGAACAGTCTGTATCGGTAGCCAAGATATTTGACAGATGCCTGATTCTTGCTTACGACACTTTCAAGATAAGCTTGCATATATTATACAACTTCCGAGCAACAATACAGTGGACCCGTGTAATCCGAAATGTCGAAGGCCTTGCCCGCACAGCGATATTTTACCGCGCGATTTTTTTCTCATAATTCTGTAACACATTTAATATTATAGGAATATCCGCACTGGCGGTAAAAAAATCGCGCGGGAAAAAAATCTGTTAGGCCTTGTCCGCACAGCGATATTTTACCGCGCGATTTTTTTCTCGTAATTTTGTAACACATTTAATATTATAGGAATATCCGCACTGGCGGTAAAAAAAATCGCGCGGGAAAAAAATCTGTTAGGCCTTGTCCGCACAGCGATATTTTACCGCGCGATTTTTTTCTCGTAATTCTGTAACACATTTAATATTATAGGAGTATCCGCACTGGCGGTAAAAAAATCGCGCGGGAAAAAAATCTGTGACTTGATGCAAATTGAACGCGAAGCGGTGCGATTTATTTCGGTGCGAATATTTTGTACCGTATAAAGTAAGTGTGGCTATGTTCGCACTGTGGAATAAAATTCGCGCGTTTCGCTTGATAGGTAATTAATTGCTGGACCAGGTAGTTGTAGTAAATTATCGAATGATTTTTTTGTCATTCTGTAATAGCCAAAAAACTTTTTGCTGTATTTTCGCAACCCTTAATATTTTATGTAGAAAAATCCTTTCACGGGTCTCAATGCCGTAAGTGGGTGAATCCGTCTGTTACGCCGCCTTAGCATTAGATTAATTAAAATTTTTGTTCGGTTGTCCATTTTACACGTCCGTCTCAGCCGAGAACTGAATTAAACTGACGAAAATAGTACGAAATTTTATTCGCAGTGCGCACTAGGTGTAATTCCGATTGCGGAATTTAATACGCGCGAATAAAAACCTCGCGGTGAAATATTGCTGTGGGGACAGGCCCTAAATTGAATATTTTCTGACAATCTTCACTAATGTAGATAATGCGTGATTGAACACTATTGTACTCGACGTGTAGGTATTGTTGTGATTCTGTGTGCTACGAGATTTTTAACGTTCTCGTTAGCGTAAAAGTTAACTCAAATTTGTATGGAGTTGAAATGTTTGTATAAGTTTGCATTCCCGATCCTGCGGACAGAATGGAAAGCAGTCGACGTCGCCCAAAACACGTCATCTCGGATCCTCCTGATCCACTAACGGTGCTTCTAGGTACTTCAAGCACCGGTCACCGTTCTCGTCGAACCCGTCGCTTGCGACGAAGGGCTCGACGAGTAAATTAACTCTCAGACACAGCCCACTGAGTTTCTCGCCGGATCTTCTCAGTGGGTCGCGTTTCCGATCCGGTGGTAGATTCTGCGAAGCACGGCTCTTGCTAGGGTTCGTGTTAGCAACGTCACCAGGTTTGAGCCCCGTGAGCTCACCTACTAAAGTTAGGGTTACGCTGACATAGCCGCTAGGGCTATCAGCTTAGGTAGGAAAAAAAAAATGTATAAGTTTGCCACTAGGGGCGCTGTTCCAACTGCATACAAATTTGAGTTAACTTTTACGCTATCGATAACGTTAACAAATTCGCTCTAAGCATACTGATTGCTTAATTTGAATTTGACTACATACGTATGATAGTGGTGCGGCCTAGCTTGCATTCATTATTTAGTGTTTATTACGTATACACACACCTTGCAATGTCGCTAAATGTGATATCTTGGACCGCTTAGATCGTAATGAATCTTTCAGTAGATTATCAAGTGCACACTGCATATATAGATAATTTGTTGGATTACACTACTGTTTTGTAAAAAAAATCCGGACTACACATGGTCTTAGGCAGTTCTCTATAATCCGACAAATTCGTTAGTTTGACACTGCCCTGCAAAATGTTTGTTGGATTATCGGGGTCAACTTTATTTGGACCGTCGGTCTACTGAGCAATTACACTCGCTCCAATTAAAGGTCTTCCCTATGTCATATACTCCCAAAAGTCGCCATATTAATTTTTATATTTAATTATTTCCAGAAAAATAAACCTGATTTCTGGGATTTCACGTATCCGTTAGAAGTACCAGCGGTTTCGTATTTATATGGCGCCGGGACGTTACAAGTCAGCTTACCATCAAGTACACGGTCTAGTCAATCGAGATCCCGGGTCGTAGTGCAACACGCCCAGATGAGGGTTCCAAAAAATGTGGACAAGTTAGTAACTAGACTTTTTTTTTATTGCTTAGATGGGTGGACGAGCTCACAGCCCACCTGGTGTTAAGTCATTACTGGAGCCCATAGACATTTACAACGTAAATGCGCCACCCACCTTGAGATATAAGTTCTAAGATCTCAGTATAGTTACAACGGCTGCCCCAACCTTCAAACCGATTACTCCATCACGACAGACAGACAGGGTGGTGGTACCTACCCGCGCGGACTCACAAGGCGTCCTACCACCAGTAATTACGCAAATTATAATTTTTTCGGGTTTGATTTTTATTACACGATGTTATTCCTTCACCGTGGAAGTCAATCGTGAACATTTGTTGAGTACGTATTTCATTAGAACAATTGGTACCCTCCTAAGATTCGAACATTGATGCATCGCTATATACGAATGCACCGGACGTCTTATCCTTTAGGCCACGACGACTTCAAAATAGCCAAATACTTCCCGATATAATACAATACATATATGTCGTGGATAACGACTTTAGTAATATTAAGACATTGTTTTGATTATTATTTTAAATGATAAAATGTTGTTTTGATAAATATCACAAAAATGTAGGGTAACGCCACAGTGTAAAATGGCGGTACGTGGACAGAGTCGTCTCATTCCGTCTCAGACAGTCAGTCTGTTAGTATCACATTCAGTCTCAGTGAGTTTCAGACAGTCAGTCCGTGTCAGACAGTTAGTCCGTCTCAGTCAGTCAGTCTGTCAGTCGGTCAGTTGAAACGGAATTGTCGGTTTACCCTGTCATTGTGAAAATTATGTGTTGCGAGTTTCAATAATTATTATTTAAAAGGTTTTATTGACTTTTATTGCAATAAACTGTGTTCTACCGAAGACGAATGATGACGGAAAATGCCGCTCAGCCATCCCTGGCGCTCTCCGTCATATACATAAATACAATAGTACAATATTCAGAGCACGCTGCTCAGCATTATCCAATAGCAGAATAAAAGTTCAATAGTACGTCGAGAGCCCGTAGTAATGACGACAATATTTCGTGACTTATTACCGGGTGGGTACGGATTATTGATTCCATTGTTGAATAAGTGATAGGACCTCTTGTGAGTCCGCACGGGTAGGTACCACCACCCTGTCTATTTCTGCCATGAAGCAGTAATGCGTTTCGGTTTGAAGGGTGGGGCAGCCGTTGTAACTATACTTGAGACCCTTAGAACTTATATCTCAAGGTGGGTGGCGCATTTACCTTGTAGATGTCTATGGGTTCCAGTAACCATTTAACACCAGGTGGGCTGTGAGCTCGTCCACCCAACTAAGCAATAAAAAAAAAAAAAAAGAATAAGAGGTCACAAGAGGTCCCACCATCGGTAACAAAATGCCAGTAATGCTTACGTCCGTTGCAGAGTTGAACAGATCGAGAACGGCCCAGAACTTGTGAGCAGAGTCGATCACTTCATCAAGAAGCAATATAAGCTGAACGGTCGCCGTCCGCTGAGCTATTACAGCGTGGTCCTCGATCCGGATTCGTTCAGCAAGACCGTCGAGAACATATACTACGTGTCGTTTCTTGTGCACGACGGCTTGGTGGCTGTCGAATTAGGTGAGATAATATCTTTATATCTATATATTAATATGTGAAGCAAAAACTTTGTAGGTACCCCTTTTTACAAAAATTGCACAGACGGAGGAGTACGAAATTTCTCACACTTATATAAAATATAGAGGAATTTAGAATGATATAGTATATATTTTTAATGGTTTTATTAAGAATCACAATAATCTATATTCTATCTATCTTCTATCTATATATATATAAAAATGAATTGCTGTTCGTTAGACTCGCTAAAACTCAAGAAAGACTGGACCGATTTGGCTAATTTTGGTCTTGAATTATTAGTGTAAGTCCAGAGAAGGTTTAAAAGGTAGATAAATATGAAAGTACTCGGAATTAAATAAAAATAACAATTTTGTTTTCCCTTTGATGTGTCCCGCGTCGGACGGATTCCTTTTGTTTGTGTTAAGTTTATTTTATACAAAAGTTTAGGTCTTTTATTTATCGATTGAGGCACAACGAAGTCTGCCGGGTCAGCTATTAATCTATACTAATATGTAAATCTACAGTGTTTCTTACGGATGTTCCGTTATAACTACTGAACCATGCATCCGATTGACTTGAAACTTGGTATCCATGTAGAAAATACATGTACTTAATGGATAGGCTAATATTTATATGAGCTTATATTGATGAGAATCTTTGTGGGGGTGAGAAATAATAATGTTAATTGTAAATGCCCAGCAAAGCGGACGGGTACATTTAGTAGTTTTATAAGAACTAGAGGTCCCGCAGTAGTCGAAATTCGACTATAAATAATTGGAATTGTAAGTTTGTACACTATTATGATTGTATTTTATACTTCTATAATCATATATTTCGCCAAGACTACGGTATAAAAAATATTATGTAACAAAGACAAACAATGTTTAATCTATTCTCAATTTGACAACAGACGTCAAGATCAAAAGTTTGACAATAAATAGTATGCATGCGTGTGTGCGACAAATACATGGTATGTAATGTGTGTAATGTTTTCTTTATTGATGTAATGTATCTTTTATGCATTATTTTAAAAAAATATTAGAATTGTGCACTTCTTCTCTATATTCCCCATAAGTGTAGAAAATTTCATAGTCCTCCGTCCGCGCAATTTTCGTAAAAAGGGATACAAAGTTTTTGCTTCACGTATTAATATATAGATAAACTACGGAACTACAACGCTAGACGCGTCGTCTACAGATGGCGTTACCCTTACCGGCCTAAAAATAGTAGTATATGAGTCGACTATTATCAAAGCCGGCAATGTGACTTTTGAACAATTATTGGTAAATCAGAAAAACGAATTATTGACTTTGTATTCCATTGGCAGTCACAAAACTCTTCGGAACGACATCTTAGATAAATAACAGGTTAAGTATTAACCTTTATTTAATGCAGGTTTTGGACCGTATTCTTTGAAGGAGACGATTATATTCAAATCAATCTGTATTGACATATCAATAACATTTTTTTGTCCAAATGCACAGATTGCCACCTTTGATAATAGGCGACTCATATATAGTATCGATGTCTTCCCAGATGAAACTTACGGTCTCCCGTTCATATCGCCACGCGAAGCGCCCAGGGACAACGACGGCGCTCTTCACGACAACCAAATGATCATGTCAATAGATATGAAAATGTGGAAGGTATGTTAACTTTTATATTACTAATGGTAGGGCCTCCTGTGAATAGTTCTCGGTGAGCTAACGCGTCGTTCTTGTTAATGTTATAAGCGGTTTACGCAAAGCCGAGATCGGTTACGTCTCCCCGGTCACTAGATGGCGCTGATTAACGATCGACAAACTTATCTATGGCGATCGCTGCGGGCAAGTCGCCCGGTGTGCTCGCGTTTGAACTACTCCCACGATGAAGCAATCAAATCGATAAAAATTATAACTTTGTGTAAATAAACCTCACAGCAATCATGTTTGGAGGGTTGAGACAACAGTCAGACAAATGAGATTCGAACCTCACCTCTACCGTCTGTAGTAACCGTAGACAAAACTTGTCATATAGCATAGAGCAATTATTTATTTATTTATTTAAGGATTACAGTAAGACATAAAATAACATTGACATGTATAGAGCAATTGATAACTGCAACTCTAATTATAGGCAATCACAGCATGCATTACATTAATATATTAATAGAGATTTAACAATACTATTAATAATAATAAACAAATAAAAATAAAAGAAAGACAACAAGGGCAGTAATACCCGAGTACTCAGACCGAGGCTGAGGCTGAGGTTCAACAACAACTTTTTATAATTTTGTTCTTAAATATTGGAAGGTTATAATATATATAGTAATCTCCCCTATAACACGGTATATTGGTTCCGCGTTAAAATAGACATCTACAACGTAAATACGCCACCCACCTTCAGATATAAGTTCTAAGATCTCAGTATAGTTACAACGGTTGTCCCGCCCTTCAAACCGAAACGCATTACTGCTTCACGGCAGAAATAGGCGTGGTGGTGGTACCTACCCGTGCGGACTCACAAGACGTCCTACCACCAATAACACACAATATTTGTTTGTATTTCAGGAATTAATCGAAGTATTTCAGATCAGTAAGCCGCTGATGGTGATCAAGAGGCTGTGAAGATGACGTCTCCGTAAAGTTTGTACGTGGATTGTACAGTAATTCCCTCTATAACACGGTATATTGGTGCCGCGTTATAGGAAACGCGTTTTAGTAGTATTATCGCATAACGCGATTGCCCGCGTGACCCCATATAACGCGGTATATACAAATATAATATATATACATATATAATACAATGTTGCCAATGTTTTTACAGTTCAAAAACTAGGAACACAAATTTAATAAATTAGGTAATTTTATTTTATTTTATAAGAACACAATAGACACAATGCTCAAAGCTACCCGATATAAATTTTTGAACTGTAGAAAAAACATTATAAATTTCATTGCATACAGAAATATAACTTTGGTATATGGGGGAATACCCGTGATATGTTATTTTATATCGACGCTTGAAAGGCAAACGTGACTAAGCGACAATAACTGCTTTGTACATAAATGATAGGCAATAACCATATTCGATGCGCAAAAAAATATATATTTCTAGGTCTATTAAAATCATTTCAATTCTACAGCTACTAGCTAGATTCTACTACAGCTAGATTCGTTAAAATAGATTTTTTTTCAGGTATTTCAACTTCCAATTAGTTTAGTGTAAAGTTCACGCATTGTCACTTAGTCACGCTTGCTTTTCAAGCGTCGATATTATGACTAGTAGACCCGGCCACACGTTGCTGTGGCTAAGGTTTTTGTTTCTAAATAACACGCGGCCCGCTATGCTAATATCAAAGATTAACAAACTAGCGACCCGCCCTCGCTTCGCTTGGAAAACTGTAATTTATTATTGATTTCTCCACTATTTAATGGATGTTATTATACATATAAACTCCTCCCGATCCACTAACGGTGCTTCTAGGTACTTCAAGCACCGGTCACCGTTGTCGTCGAACCCGTCGCTTGCGACGAAGGGCTCGACGAGTAAATTAACTCTCAGACACAGCCCACTGAGTTTCTCGCCGGATCTTCTCAGTGGGTCGCGTTTCCGATCCGGTGGTAGATTCTGCGAAGCACGGCTCTTGCTAGGGCCAGTGTTAGCATCGTCATCAGGTTTAAGCCCCGTGAGCTCACCTACTAGTTACGGTTCCGCTGGAATAGCCGCTCCAGGCTACCAGCTTAGGTAGGAAAAAAAAAAAAAAACATAATCTTTCCTCTTCAATCACTCTTATCTATTAAAAAAACCGCATCAAAATCCGTTGCTTAGTTTTAAAGATTTAATCATACATAGGGACAGACAGATATAGGGACAGAGAAAGCGATTTTGTTTTATACACTATATAGTGAAGTAACAATTGGATTTCACTGTATTGCGTTTACTATGAAATAAATTTCACTTATCCTCAGCAACACGTGGTGCTTAAGCCATTAAACTGTAGCTTATGTGAGACGTTGGTATTTTTAACACAGCGCCATCTATGAGATATCACTGGTGGTAGGACCTCTTGGGAGTCCGCGCGGGTAGGCACCACCACCCCGCCCATTTCCGCCGTGAAGCAGTAATGCGTTTCGGTTCGAAGGGGGGGGGTAGCCGTTGTAACTATATTGCTATATTGAGATCTTAGAACTTATATCTCGAGGTGGGTGGTGCATCTACGTTGTAGATGTCTATGGGCTCCAGTAACCACTTAACACCAGGTGGGCTGTGAGCTCGTCCATCCATCTAAGCAATAAAAAAATTTTTTTACAATAGTCTGTAAAAACTGATTTAAGGCGCCATCTGTTTTAGACTTATGAAACTGACAATTAATAACAAAAATCAAGATAAGAAATCAGTTTATTGTGAATTACTAAATATTGCGACAATTAATCGAAATAAAAACCATCCTATCTTTCAAGTTGGATCAAACTGCACACGGTGTGCAAATTTAATTTGAAATCGGTTAAGTAGTTTAGGAGTCCATCGCGGACAAACAACGTGACACGTGATTTATATATATATATTGTTCCTTGCTGGATGTCTTGTTGTTCTCTTCAATGAAACGATTTGGCTCGTATTTACAGGTTTATTAATAGATAAAAACTGAAGATCAAATAATAATGAGATTGAATATTGTAGTAGTAGATAATGTAATCGTTAAAGATGTAGGTATATGCGTTCGCGATCGCTCGATGAAGTGAAGCTCGGTGGTGGGCGAGAATAAAAACTTGTTTGGAGGGGGATTTAGAGATCCTTAACATATATTAAGATACTAGCTGACCCGGCAGACTTCGTAGTGCCTCAATCGCATGTATCGTACAGGGCCAGCGCGCACATCATATTGCAGACCGATGCATTTTACGTCCCATTTGTCGTAAGCGTCGTGAAGAAGTGTATTATGATCTGAATTGCAGACGCGGCATCTTTTTCTCGACAAACACCCGTTGCCATGCGTTTCAATGCCAAAAGTTTCAATGTTGTTGTAATTGGTGCTAGCCAACCGAGTGGATCAAATATCTTTGAGATATCTGATATTAGTGAACGTTTTGTATAGTAACCGGCAAACTTCTTGAGCAAATGACCTTGACTGCGCAGAACCGAATTTTAGATCACTTTGGTGGTGAGGGCGGGGCGCGACGGCAGGGGAAATCGTATCGAGCGCGTTATTGGTAGATCAGTCGAACCTTGCGTCCCGCACCGCGCCCTCGTTCCGCTTGCTCCCAAAAGTACGCTTGCGTACAGTGAAAAGTCTATCGTTATTAATTGTTAAGTTATTTGTTATAATTGCTTATTGACTTTGTTGCCATTGCTATATGTTGAGTGTTTGTTGATGTTTTATAAAACATACACTATGCCGCGACAAACTGGTGTAGTAATCAAAAGAAAGGGTAGAAAAATTGTGTACGACGTATATTGCTTCATTATAAAACAGGAGAAGGATGATGATGGTCAAGATTATCTAACGAAAAAAAAATTACAAGTACCAGCTTCGCTTCAACTGAACGAAGACCTGGCAACAGCTCTAGTTTTGACTTAATAGAAGGAATATCTATTTTACCCCAAGATTAAATTATTACAATTATTAACCTATATTTTTTGTTGATGTTTTAATAAATATATAAATAAATACATAATATGTTGATATTAATAATTTAATAGCATTATGACGCAGAGTAAATAATGTTTTTGCACGTGAGTGTACCATACGCGAACTTACCCCCACTACGTCGACAAATGCTCAAGAAGTTTGCCGACTATTATACGTTTTTCTGCCTTTGTTGTTTTACCTATTTTTAGTTCGAACGAGAATGTATTTTCGTTGGGATTCCATTTCAGGCCGAGTGTCTTTGTTGCTTCGGCTTGCTTGAAGTCGAATGATGCTTGATCTGACGCCGCTCTGTTGACGTTTTGAAGTAATTCCTCGTTGTTAGATGACCATTTTCGTGAGTTGAAACCTCCCGACCGTAGCAATCGGATTAAATCTTCCTGCAGTTGTTTGGCCGACGACAATGTGAAGCTTCCACTTACAAGGTCGTCCATGTAGAATTCCTCCTGCAACGCTTATATAGATTGCTAGTGTGTCGGAGGACGCGTGTAATAACAAAGCCGGTTGATTACGCACTACTTTATTATATTGACGGCGGACGCAGCCGCCGATGCTTACATATCTAACAATTGCCAATGTTCCTAGTTGTAATTTCAATAAATTAGGTAATTTAATTTTTATTTTATAAGAACACAATTGACACAATGTGCAAAGGTACGCGATATTAAATTATGAACTGTAGAAAACTATTCCGGACGGCCACGGCTCAGGTTTCGGCCACTGCGTGTGATTTTTAGACTTCTTACATTAAAACGTGGCAGCTCGAGTATTGCCGCAGTGGCTGTCGCGGAACGGGTGCTGGGATTGCTTCGAGGAAATAACGAAGACTCAGTATGGCGTTCACACGGTCCTCGTGGCTTGACCGGCGCAGGGCGGAGGAGCGAGTCTCTTCTTGTTCTTCCGGAGAGGCGTTGACTCGTCGGCTCGCTGTCTCGAACTGAATTTTGCAACAAAAACAACAAGAGGTGTCGTCGTACCCCCTGACGGGGGCACGGAACGGGCCTCGGGGCAAACCCCACTGCCCGGGCTGAAACTCCCTGCCACATAGGGCAGGGGTGAAGTAATGCAGGGAGCACTGGGGAGAGAGGTACGCTGTTCGCAGCGCGCACGGCTGCACTACATCGACAAAATATAAATACATAAATATAATAACGATGGGCTTGTTTCTCCGGGGTGGAGTGATGCGATCTCGCGGATGACTCCGGAGATCGCCTCGGCCAAGTTTTCCCAAAGCGTCAGCAGCCATGCAGCAAAGCCGGCAGGCTGGGAGGCCTGTCGACCGCTGCGGCGCTCGCGCTGAGGGCGGGGAGGAAGGGGGGGCTGGCTGTTTAAATCAAAGTTGCCTTCGGCCTGATGGACCGATGGCAGTGGCAGGCTAGTATTTGTTGTTTGGGCAGTAGGGGAGGCCTCGTTGACCTCCATTGTCTCGACGACAGTTTGGTGTTGCTCGAGAGGTACTGCATTAGTCGCTCTGATGGCTTCCTCTCTCTCGTGCTTCTTTTTTTTTTTAACCTTTTTTTTTCCTTTTTCTTTTTGTTCCTGTTTTTGTTTTTGCCGGGTGCAGGACCGCTGGTCGAGCGAGATGTAGGTATGACACCAGCGGTGGTGCGACCACGAGGAACGGGAATAGGTTTATTTGCCCGCCGCGGCCGGTTGGCCTGCGCCATCAACGTGGTCGCTGACGGCTCAGCCTCCACTACCACAGCGGACGGAATGGAGTTTCGAGGGGGAGGGGCCGGGGGAAGGGAAGATTTCCCTTTCCCCTTCCCCTTCCCCTTTACTATGGGAAGTACAGCCGGAACAGCTGCACTCCCGGCTCGAGGCACCGGTGGCGCAGGAGGAGGGACGGTGACTCCCATCATCCTGGCCCGTTTGGGGAAGACCGCACACCGTCTGTCGATGGCGGCGTGGTCCTTCCCACAATTGGCGCAGGAGAATGGGCCGTCCCTCGGCCTCGGGCAGTCCGCTACAATGTGCTCTCCGGCACACCTTACGCAGCGGACCGCGCGATGGCAGTTGTAGGACGCGTGTGCGAAGGCCTGGCAGCGATGACACTGCGTGGGTCCTCGGGTTGGACGCCATCCCTCAACTGTCACCCCCGGCAAGTACAACAGTTCGTTGACTGCGTACAAGCGGGCGAGGTCGTCCTTTGAGAGGTGGTCCAGGGCTACGTGAAACACGCAGCCCGGACGCCCTCTCTGGGACCTGATGCACCTGGCATATCGAGCCGGGAATCCCAGCTCCTTCAGGGCATTGACTACTTCTGCCTCGTCGGTGTCGGCAGGGAGGCCCCGGACCGCCACCTTAGCAGGCATCTCCTCCGCGAGGGCATAACAGTACCATTTAATGGTACCATCCCTGGCAGAGGCCTCCGACAGGTAGGCCTGGACCGCCCTGTACTCCTCGACCGACGTCGGCAGAAATCTAAAACCGGCGCCGAAGGGTCACGCCGAGGGAGCTCGACCTAAGCGCTCCCTAATAGCCGCCAAATGGCGAGACCAATTTGGGCCTCCACCATAATTGATGGGTGTCGGCGCAGTACCTCCTGGGCACGACCCTTCGACCTCGGGGGAGAGGGACTTGTGAGGATTGGGAAGTCCTCTGGGTGGTAGGGATACCTGGCCTAGCTGCCATGGCAGCATAGGAGGTAGAGGGAATGGGGTTTGGCTTAGGGGCGTGATGTGGTCTGGTGGACTCGAGGTCCATATACCTGGTAGAGTCCAGGTTACCCGCCGTGCCGCTTAGGGCGGGGGCACCTCGGGCTGAGTCCACCGGGATTGGGGATAATGTTGGGGAGGGAGAACGTGGAGGGAATCTTAGTTGCCTTTGGTCTATCCCTGTCCTGGCGGGAGCCCTAGGCTTCGGTATTGGCTTATTGGCTGGGATTGGGCTCCCAGAGGGGGACGAAGACCTAGAAGTGGACGGAGTCACAGATTCTGTTGAGGAATGATCAGTGAACGTGGTCGCCCTTTCCTCTCCCTCCGATCTGGAGGAAGGACCCAGTCGCGGACGCTTATCCTTATCGCTTGATGAGCCTCGGTCAGACTCAGACCTGGCCTTCTTCCGCGGCCGAGAGGGCCCGGAGGGATCGGACAGCGGGGGAAGGTTACCTTCCCTCGGTCCGATCCTCGGGGATCCCTGGGCCGCGACCGAAGGCCCGGGCTGGCTGTCCAATCCGAGTCCCATCAAGCCTGTACGGACTGCAGGTATAGGCTTATTCATCGCCTGAGGTCCCTTGTTGGACGGGCCGGGTGTGCTGATTATTGGGGGTGAATTCCCCGACGACATGGTTTTCTTGGTCCTACGATGGTTGAGTAGTCATTAGTACTCCCGAGTGCTGCCAGTGGGTATGTTAATCTAATAAGCTGGGCTCCGGTTAACCAGCAATAAAGGATTCTCTATCTAATTATAACTATAAAACAAAAAAGAAGGAATGTTGGGGTTCCAGGGGAAGTTTTGTTGAGTTCCAAAGAGTTAGTATGTTGTTTGAGCACCTTTATTATATTGGTAAAGGACAGATGGTAACGTCTTAACGAGTGCGTGTTGCTAAGTGCACTGCTCTAAGAATATAATAAAATAACCTGACACCACAATGACGACGCACGGCGTGTCCACGTATTAGTTAGGTATGTGCAAACCGTACATCTTGGCAACCCAAAAGAGCAAGAAACAATCGATTAACAATAAATGAAATAGTTCGTAAGCTTAAATAAAAATGTAAAAAATATAAAAGTTAAAAATGTAAAGGTAAAAGTAAAAATATGTATAAAATGACATTTCACAACAAAATTACTTAAAATTTAACTTAATCAAAACTAAAGGCAAAGTTNTTAGGTATGTGCAAACCGTACATCTTGGCAACCCAAAAGAGCAAGAAACAATCGATTAACAATAAATGAAATAGTTCGTAAGCTTAAATAAAAATGTAAAAAATATAAAAGTTAAAAATGTAAAGGTAAAAGTAAAAATATGTATAAAATGACATTTCACAACAAAATTACTTAAAATTTAACTTAATCAAAACTAAAGGTAAAGTTTGTTCCACTGGTGTTTACGCTTCGGGCTGGCTTTGGTGGTGGCGCGACTTGGGCTTGAACACCGTCATCTCGTCGGTCGTGCCACAGGTGAAATGTTTGAAGTTCGATATCTTCAGTGGGTGCAAGTGGATGGCTCTTCTTTTTCTTTAAGCAGTGGGAATGCTTCCTCACGACCCACACGAGGCCAATAACTAGAGCTGCTACTAATAATAAGTATGTAATGACATACTGATGTATGTCATGCGCTGATATGATGGTCGACGGAAAATGTTTTTCCTGCTCCTTTTGCTTTAGCTCTTTAGCGATTATTTTTGTTTCACGTGCTGTAGACTGGAACAGATTCGGAGTGGTAGGTGGGGCTTCGTCGGTCATGTGGCACCGTACCTTCTCGTTGTTCGAGGTCCATTTGCGCAGTTCAAAATGGCCTCGCCGGTGTACTTCCCTCACCTCGTTTGCGATCCTGATCGCGTCTTCGCTTGTCCGGTAACTTCCAAGGTAGTCGTCCATGTAGTGGTTGCGCACGATTGCGTCGGCGGCGTCCGGTTACTGCAGTCGGTGCTTCTCTGCGTTGGCGTTTTTCAGATAGATGGCGGTCGCAGGTGAGCTTGTCGCGCCGAAGATTATGCGTCGCGGTCCTCGCTTCGGACGCCTATCTGCATGAACATCTCCGCGATGTCCGCGAAGACGGCGACGGCGTGCTGCCTGAAGCGCATCATTACTCCGGGCAGCGACTGCAGCAGGTCCGGGCCGGTGAGCAGGAAGTCGTTCAGGCTTTTCCCTCTGGTTTTCGCAGCGGCGTCGTGCACGATGCGAATCTTCTCTGGTTTCATCGGATGCGTCACGCCGAAGTGTGGCAGGTACCAGGTTCGGTCCTTTGTACCCGTCGACGGAGCTACTTCGGCGTATCCCTTCGCTACCAGCGCGTTCATTTGCTGCTTGTAGCGTTCTTTTATATTCGGATCCTTCTCCAGTTTCTATTTCACGGACGTCAGGCGATTTAATGCGGCTTCAAAGTTGTTGGGCATCTTCGGGTTCTCCTCTCCTCTCCCCGCAGTGCGGTCTCGTAGCGGCCGTCGGGTCGTTGCTGGGTGGAATCCCGCAGGATCTTCAGCGCGTGCTTGTCTGGATCGTTCTTCGGCGTCTTGGCGGCGACGGTGAATCCCTCGATCGCGGAGTAGTGCTTGAGGGCTTCGTCCGTGTTCGCGTTGGCCGACGTCGCGTAAGTCACGAAGTTGACGCGCTGTCTTCTACCTCCCGGGAGTGCTCCGCGCACGACCCACCCGAGCGGAGTACGAGATACCACCGGTTGATCGCGTCGTCCCGTCCGCATCTCCTCCGTCACCAGTAGGTGCCAGTTATCTTGGCCGATCAGAATCTTCGGCGAGTCGTAGCTTGTCTTGAAGTGACGCCGGAGGTCGGTGAGGTGATGGCACGACGCGAGGACTTCGTTGTTCAGTCGCTGTGGTGTCAACTTCAAGCCGTTGACTATCCGTAGATTTAGTTCTTGCGGTTCCCCCGGTGCGTCCGCATAACTTCAGCGGGACGCGTCGTAAGCGTGTTGCGTCTATTTTGTTGTCCCCGATGACAGTGATGAAGAGGGGTTCGACCGATCCTTTGGCGCCGACTCTTCTCGCGAAGTCATCGTCGATCAACGAGATGGTTGACCCGTCGTCCAACAGGGCCCACGCATCCGCTTCTCTCGCCGGTCCGATGACTGATTGGCGCCATCTTGAGGTAGGCTGTCGCTGTTCTTGCGGCCCACGTCGAGGTGACCGCCTCTTCTTTCTCTGTTGTTTTCTGCCATGCTGGCTTCTTGTGCAACAGCTCGTGGTGCGTGCGTTCACAACTGTTGACGCCGCACCTCTTCTTTTTATACACGCTTCGCCGTATCCCAGCGCTCGCTGATGGCCGCTTTCTTGCACTCTGGACAGTCTTATGGGATGTGCCCCAGCTTGTGACATGCTGCGCATTTCTTTTCTTCTTTCGCTTGCGTGGTGTGCGTCCTCTGAGGCATGTTCAACATCTTCCGCCGGGCGCTGGTGTTCTCCACTCTCGTCTCTGGTGGGTGGCAGCTTCTCCGATGTGATGTTGGTGAGCTCCGGGTGTACATGTAGTGTACGTGCTCGAGGGCCCTCAGAGCGGCGACGACGTTGTTTACTTTGTTCGCGAATACGCAGATGTCCCTCGATGTGTCCGTGCAGCGTGGCAGCGCGCGCAGTCGTTCCAGTTTCGTTGCGGCGATCGCTTCCGGACGTCCGAAGCGCGATTCTAGAGTCCGCATGATCACGGCGGGCTCAGTGTAATGCAGCAGCAAGTTTTCAACCGCTTCTCTTGCTCTTCCTTTCAATGTACGCCGAAGTCTTGCAGTGTTCTCTGCGGCGCTGTAGCTGTCCGCTGATTCGGCGTAGGCGGCCTTGAAGTAAAGCCATTCTTGATGCGATCCACTGTAGACTGGTAGCTCCCCGTAGTACCGGTGCGATGGTCCGGGCCTGGCTTGGCGGGCGGCCGTCGCGATGGCAGCAGCTAGTTCGGCGATGTCGCTCTTCGGTGCGACAGGTACGGCAATCGGTGCCGCGGCAGGGGCCAGTAGCTTCAGCTGTTCTATTGGTGCGGGAAGTTCCAGTTGTGGTTGCTTGATGGTGGCTGGTGATTCATGTGCTGGCTGCATTAGTGTTTGTTCGACTCCGTGTAGCGCGATCGACCGTTGCTGGTTGAGCCACGTATCGATGCGCTGTGACTGCTAGTTTTCGTCTTCCGTCAGTGTCGTGCGCGCATGTTCATCTTCTTTAACGAGCGCTTCGGCTTCTAATGTTGAGATGATTTAGACTTACGTTGAAACGTGGCAGCTCGAGTATTGCCGCAGTGGCTGTCGCGGAACGGGTGCTGGGATTGCTTCGAGGAAAATAAGAAGGCTCAGTATGGCGTTTACACGGACCTCGTGGCTTGACCGGGGCAGGGCGGAGGAGCGAGTCTCTTCTTGTTCTTCTTCCGAAAATGTTGACTCGTCGGCTCGCTGTCTCGAACTGAATTTGGCAGTCGTGGGGTCTCGGTACGGTTCGGAAAGTTCACCTGCGGCTATATTCAGACTCACCAAGTTACGTCAGTCATATTGTAATAAGCGATTTATGAGCCAACGATGTAAAACACCGTCTTCCCCCCTCGTCCTCCAAGGGACAAGTGGGGGAAGCCTTGTGGGTGAGGGGGGCCATCGTACGGTCGTAGGACGCGTACAACAGTCCCCCCTCCCAGCAGTCACCCCGGTAAGTCCGCATCTTAGTCGCCAGCTCAACCTCAAGTCGGCTTAGCTCGCGCTTGATCCTGGACACCTAGATGTCGCCCAGAGCTTCCTCAGTGCCCTCTTCCGACGAATTCACGTCTTGAGGTGCACCGGGAGTTCAGCTCTGGGACCCCCGCTGGGTACCAGAGTCGTCGCTTGGTCCAGGGCTCCCCTGAGACGGAAAGCCGCCGTGTCCACCTCATCAGAGGTAGACGGGTCTTGAAACAAGGATTGGTCTGCCAGCAGTCCCGTAAAGGACTGCCAGTCGACTCTAGGCCTGAGAGGGGATGTCGCGACCCGAGTGAGCCCCAAACCCACCGTAACCAAGATCGGCAGGTAAGGGGTACTCAGGTCGTACAGTGCCACTATCGCTAGAGGGCACCGTAGCCCCTTGTGAACACACACGTCCAAGACGTCCGGTTGACACCGGGCCGACATTGGAACGTGGGTGGGTTCGTTGGGGCCGACCACGCAGTAGTCCCCCCTTTCGGCATCCTCGTACAATCGCCTTCCGGGCCTCGTGATGAGTCGGGAGCCCCAAGCGACATGTTTCGCATTGAGGTCCCCGACCACCAAGGCCGGATGGCGATCATGGTTCAAGACCCGTCTAATATCGTCTTCGACAAAATCAGGACCCGGGGGTCGGTACGCGGCATAAATCCGCATTTCGGCCCCCGATACGTGGACCCTCACACCGACTGACCTTGTCGATGTGAAGGACAGCAAATCCAACTGATCATGTACCACGTCCCACCTAACGAGGGCCGCAGTGCCCCTGAACGGCCGCCCGGCAGGAGTATGCTCGTCACGTCGGTACATGAAGTAGTTTGGAATCCTAGCCGTAGCTTGGTCTCGCCCAGGAGCACAACCTCAGGGTTGGACTCTTGAGCGAGAACAAGCAGGTCGTTTTTCCGGGACTTGATCCCGTCGGGGTTCCAATAGATGATGCGAAACTCCTGGGTAGCCATTGAGCC